ACTAAAGAGAGAGAATAAAGAATCAAAATGTGAGATGCCAGCTGCTAAGGTAGCAGAATAGTTAAAGGTGTTGCTGGTTTACAGTGTCAGACAGTTTGTAGAGACGAGTCCTTAGGTCAGTTTGTACCATTGGAAAATCAGAGACCTTTTCAGCCATGTAAGGCCTTTTTCAGCTTCTGGTAGTAGACGCTGCAAGTAATTTTGCTTTGAGTACAGTGCCTGAAACACTGCCTAGTTCTCAAAAGTAAACCAGTAGCATCACAGATAAGCCTTTTTCAGGGGAAAATAGGTTAGTTAATGTTTCCCACTATACTATTTCACCTAATTTAAAAAAACCACAAAACTAAAAAAGTCTGTCCTGTCTTTATTCTTAGACAGTGATCACTGCAGCAAAGAACCATTTTAGCATATCATACCACTTAGGACTGTGAAGTCCTTATTCTCATGTCAAAGTCTCATTATTACGTAAAGATTCCAGTTGTAGTTTTGGGTGTTTATTTTAACTAAACACTAATTTTCCTCTAGCTTAAAAAAAAACCAACCCAAACAACCCCCACAACAATAACTGTATAACTTCTAACCATTCTGATGCATTTGTTTCCTATAAGCATAAAACTTTTTCTAAGTCTCTGATGTGTTCAAATTTTACCAAGGTCTCTCATCCGTGTATGAATATGATGTGTGAATAGAATTTCATTAGACAAGTAAAGTCAGTCTGTGGTCACGAATACTTTGACATTAAATCATTTTAGTGGAAACTAATCCAGAGAGTTGATGAGTTAACAGTGGTAGTTTCTAGTTTTGCTTTTTGAGTAAGCCTCAACAGATAATCTGCAACTTCCTGATTAATACTCTCAGGATAATTTTAACTTCAGGATACCTTTTCTTTTAGACACTTTACTGAAAAAGAAAACTGTGGTTACTAGTGAGAGTACAGGTATGTGCCACACAGAGTTTGCACATCTGTGAAGCATATGGACTTCAACCAACTGCCTCTTTGAAACTTAATCATGAAAGTTATGGAATCTAGGAATGTCTTTTTATTCTCCTAATGGAGATGATGAAACTGCTTTGTTTTACAAAATGAACAAAATTAGAAAAATCACTTTCCTACCTTGTAGACTAAAAATGTAAATACGGTAGCACTGTATAGAAACAGTAAGGATGAGGTGATGATCATGAAGATGAAGCCAAGTCTTCTGTTGCTGTGCTGCTTCTCTGCTCCTTTATTAAAAGTGTTAGAATAAAGGACAGTTCTTCTGTTACACATAATTTTCTTCAGTTTCTGCATTTCATCACCCTTCCTCTAAGGAATTAAAAGCCTCTTACACCACTCAATATTTGTCAAGTTCATTTTCAGTCTAAAATACTTAGTGTGATCACTTTTGTTTTGTTTCCCTGAATGTTCGCGAGGACAGTAGAGACTTGCTACTTTTATTATGAGCCCTTCCTTTGGGGCAGACAGAGAATAGAATCCAGTTTTCTGGATATCTGAATAAAACTTACAGGCATTTGTTCAGAAATGCAATTAGAGGAAAGAAGGAATATAGGGAAAATAATCCAGCTATGTTGTTTGTTTTGTTGTTTGGTTTGAGGGTTTTTGATGGGTTTGGTTTTGGGTTGGTTTGGGGTTTGTTTTTTTTTCCATGTTTTAGGCATGGAAAACTGAAATGTAGATAATGAGGTCTCATCGCTTTATTAACTAGAAGGCAGATGATGCAAAAGCTCAGAACTAAGCCTTTTTTCTTAAGCTGGCACAGGGAATTCCCAGTTCTGAGACCCTGTACTCTGTTACATGTATTTCCACTAAGTGTCAGTTTCTCTACTTCTCATTTTTCTGTTGTAGTTCCTTTCTGATAGCCATTAAAATTTTTATCTAGGAGGATGTAGAGTATTGTTAGATAACACAAGTGCGAAACTTCTTTCTTTTATAGAATCCAGGAGTCATTTGCATCGTATGACAACAGTCTAATTAGCATACAAGGTTAAAATACTTATTCTTAGAATCCCTCCATGGTTTTACTGTTAGTATTTTAATACAGTTATGCTACTAGCAGTTTTGTTGATATTTCCATCTTAAATGCCATTCTTGAAAGTGTAAATGAAGAGAATATTTGGGAAAGCTAATGTATTTCTTTTAAAATGCTTCATTAAGAAGGAATGATCAACTGACCTGCTTTCGTTAGTACTGTTCCATCTCCTGTTTGTTTAGAATGGGGTGAACTTGAATCTGAAAATGCTACTCCACAGATATAGACAGCATTGTCATCTACAGTCAGGTTACTGATTTGAAGTAAAATGTTATTTTCAGATAAATGCACTTTGTACTTCTGCTGATCTATGCATCCTGGAGTACACAAATCCTCATGCTTTTTAGTTAAAAAGCGAAACCACAGAACTTGAGGTGGAAACGAAGAACATCCAAAAGCTGAGAAAGTACATGTTAGGAACACAGTGTGCATGGAGTAGTCAGCTTCCTGAAATTTGGGTTGTGTTACAGTGACTTGGCAGGTATCTGTAGCACCTGTTGAGAATAAACAATGGTGATGTGAGGGACAGTTAAAAAGCAAGGCACAATCTAAAAAGAAGATAAGAGACTTATAGCTCATTCGAGAAAAGGAGGAAAACCAACTGTGTTTCGAACTTGAAAGTTTTCAGGTTGTTTCCAGCAAACTTTTCTTTTAGCTAATCCCTGCAGCTTGACCATATGTTCATTTTAACAGCTTTACCTTGGGGGTAATGCGCTTAGATTTCTGTTTTTCTGACAAAGTGTAGAGAAGAATAATCTTTCTGAAATACCATGAATGTCTCCTTTGGCCCTGGAGAGGACCAAAAGAATTCCTGGTGTAGTTCTCCACCTCAGGTTTAGTCCTGAGTGTTTTGGGGGTTGATGGGTGGTGGGGGGATAGTGTGACATAGCTGTAGATGCTCAGTGCAGTAGTTCTGCAAGGTTTTCTCTCTCTACTGTTCCTATTCCAAGTCAAGTGAGAGAGCCAGTGGCAGGCAGTGGAAATGTCATAGATGCAGTCATTTATAATTTAGCATCTTCATGACATTGATTAGAATTTATAATAGTTCCTAGACATTCTTTCACTTTGTCACACGTATTGACTCTGGGTTTATAAGGATAATAATATTGCTTGTTAGTTCTGACGTTTAAGAATGTGTGCAGAGAAAACAGGAAGGTTAATCAGAGAACAGAATTCTAATAAAGGAACTGAAATGTGAAGTTTAATATGACTGGTCTGGCAGATTTTTTCTAAGTCCTTGAAACCCATAATTTAAATATTGTTTTCGTCTATTTAATTTTACTCGACCAATGGAATTGAGATTACTGCAGTGAAAATGAAGGTAGTTGCTTAACAACATCCTTTTCTACTTCCTAGAAAATAACAAGTTAAGAATAAAAATAAACTGAAGTCTCTTAATCTACTGCTGATACACAATTTATAAGCCTGTTCATGGTGGACAGTCAGCATTGTCCCTTCATAATTTTTCTGAGTGTTTTATGGACCAGATCCAAGCAGATTCAGTGTCTGTGACTTCTGCAGGAATAAAATGAAACTACTTCTGTGGCAGATCACCATCAGAACTGTTCCATAGCAGCTATGGCAGTCTGAAGATTGTTGTAGTATGATTTGTTGGTGTACTTTTGCACCCTGTGTGGTGAAAGGCAGTAGCTTATGCTTCTGTAGTTGATCCCCTGCTCTTTTTCCATGTTATTCTGGTGGTCTCAGTGGCTTTGCAGGGCAGAGCTCCATGGCTGCAGTTCATGTAGATACTGTCTGCTGAGCTCCTCTGGAACAAGCACAGCTGCACTGTAATGCTGACATACTGCTGCTGTGAAGTTCTTTGCAGGGAAGCACAGGAGGATTTGCCCCAGAAATCTTAGGTTACAGGTGCATTTCAGGCTTTTGGAAGTAAAAGCTAACAGTTGTTTAATTTGGCAGTTGTATGAAGATAGCAGAAACTAGCTTGATTCTCAGTAAAACTTTTCACTGCTCTTATTTCATATCTATTTGCAAATCATAACATTTTTCAATCTTGACTAACTGTTGTTACATGGGAAAATATAAGAAGTTAAAAAAAAAAAGTCTTACCAGCTCTGTGCAGAATCCATTGTAATGCCAGCATGAGCACGTTTTTTAATTTGTTGAAAGATGCCATTTCTTCTACCTCTCTGGACATAATTCTGCTTGAAGGAAGAGGAATTTAGGAAACATTTGGAGTTGCAGAACCATCTGAATCACAAGATTTAGAACTTCCTGTTTAGAAGGGTGTTTACTGTTGTGTTTAGTGAACTAGTTAAAGGTACAAACCAAATCAGAAAACATTTGTTATTTATGTGTGCCCTCGCTTGGAAAATCAGTGAGCAGTTTTAAATTTTGGACTTCTGAGAGCTGTACCTGTAATCCTTCAGATTATTTCATTGGGTATAACAAATGACAGCACGTTTTCCAGCATGCTACAAATGTTTGGCTTTGTAATTTCATGTGACCCTAAGCAGTCTTTACCATATCGGCTAGTAGATGGCCACTGGAGGAACAAAGATTCTGTAGCCAGCCATTATAATGTGGTGGTCTACAGATGGAAGCTTCACGGCAAATCATCATTTTCAACTTGTTGGCTCTGTTTACTGTAACTACGTGAAGACAGCTTTGGCCAGGCAGTGGATATAAAGAATTTTATAATGCTGGAAAGCATCTTCATTAAAAAGTCTGACCATGTCTGCTGAACACCAGTCTTACTAGTGGAAGCTTCTTTTAAGCAAGTCTTGGAATTGCTAGTTAAAAATGTAACAAAGGTAATCTTAAAAAGGAGCTGCTTCTGAACAATAGGCAAATCTTGAACTGATCTTGCAACAGCTCCACAAATGGCTTGTCAACCTCCTGTTAGAAGTGGAATTGAATACAATCTGTGTAATATGCTCTGTGTAAGAAAAAAACATCACACAATAAAGTTTTCTTTATCATTTAGACAAACCTGTTTTATTTTCTCAGTAGGTGGCAAGTGGGAAAAACCGTCAGAAGTTTTGGAAATCAAAGGGCACACTTGGGAAGAACAGGTGAATAGCCTGCCAGAAGTTTTCAGTAAAGCTGGTTTTGCCATAGAAGCTTTCACCAGACTGCCATACCTATGTGAAGGTGATATGTATAATGACTACTATGTACTAGATGATGCTGTCTTCGTCCTCAAGCCAGTGTAAGCGCGTATGAAGTAAATCTCCAGAAACTTAACCCAAGAAGCAGCCTCTGAAAGAGGAGTTTGATTTACGGTTACTTAAAGGGAGGGAATTTGGGATTGCCGTGCTAAATAAATACCATGTGAGAAGTTTAAAGGCCAAAATACTAATGTATTTCTTTGTAGTGCAATTAGGAGAAAAGTTGGTTTTTAAACAGACTCTTAAGTTGAGTTTGTCTTTTTTTACCAGCTCTTAAATCAACAATGCATTCTGCAATCCAGCAGTAATGAGGGATATTTTTTTGTACATACCTGCAACAGGGGTCAGATCCAAACTAAAGCAATAGTTCTGCTAATGATGAAACTGATACAATGCAAACTCTTGTTGAAGAAGTCAAGTGAAATCTGGCAATAAAATTACCCAATCAGTTGAAGCTTTGGTGAATACAAACTGTTGAAATGGCTATTCTTCCATGCTAAGTTACTTCCTTTCTTACTGTCATTCTTCCTGTGTTTTTAATCATGCTAATAAACATTTTTGAGATTACTTTTTGCATCAACTTTTGTGTTCATTTTTGTAACCATGGCTGCACTTCTCTGCAGCAGTTGCTCTTTCTGTTGAGAATCCAGCTTTCAGTAGCAGCATAACCTTGTGGGGTTTTTTTAAACAGCATTTAAATACTGTTTAAAAGAATAACAGTCCACAAAATTATGCATCTTTTGTTGCTCTCAAAGCCTCATAAATCCTCATTGCTTTTGCATATGCTGTTTTCCAGCTGAAGAGGTGATGGTAGAACTTGCCAAAATTGCACTTTAAACTGATGGTTTCAACAACAAACTTTCTAAGCAACTTGTACCAGAAGTTTTCAGCTTAAAAAACTTGCAGGCAGTTTCTAGCAAATGTTACAGGTCAAAGTGCCTCTGAGGATGAGATTATAGGGACCTGATGGTGAAGGTTTTGCTAGCTTGGGACATTATTTTCAGGGGCAATAAGTAAACACCATTTATTTTGAAAGTGTTTTTAAAAGTCTATTTGAAATAGCTGATTTGTGGCAGCTGGGATATAACCTTCCTCTAAAAGAGCAAGCAGCATCATAAGTAGTACAGAACTGGCAGGTGTACATCTTGTGTTGCTCAGGATGTAGATCGTGAGAGCAGAGAAACCTCAGCTTGTGTATCAGCTGGTAAGTAAAGTAAGAACTGATTGACCTTTTGCTTTTGGAGCCTAAAAACATTGTGCGTTACGTTTGGTTTGTCGTTTGGGGGGGGGGAGTATAATGATTGGTGATCTTATGCCAAGTAGGATTGTTCAGCATATCTTTTTAGGTTTACCTTGGACTTCCTTTCCCTTATGGCTAGCGATTTCTCTTGCTAATTTAATAGCCTTTTGTTCTCAGTCACCCTTGTGGAGTAGTAAGTATGTAGCAGTAGTAGTATGGAGTGAGGGAGTTGGCTGGTGGGGTTTTTTCAACAGTAATTCAGGCTCAGTATTATTCTCAGTATTATAATGTGCTGTTGAATTTTGGCACAATCAGACTTGTCTGTTGGAAAAGTGAGTTATGTATGCTCTGGAGTGAATCTGTTAATTTTGTCTTTTGTTATCTTCATTTATACTCATCAGTAGTGGGAAAATGTTTCTGAATGTGTAATGAATTAAACTTCATGTGGCAAATACACATTAAGACAGGCTTCTTCAAAGGTACTTCAGTGTTTTAATCCCAGAGGTTGAAAATCACACGAGGGACTGTGTTTCACATCTGATATCTTTTAGTCCTGCCACTTAGGACTTTGGTTCGTAATAGCTTTGAGAGGTTTTGGGTGAGAAGGTGCAATGTAAGTAATAATCGGTTTTGTTGTATGTTTGGTATTTTTTAAATGATGATTTAATTGTGAATTTTTGTTCCCTGTATTTAAACAAGTATTCTTACACTTGAGATGGACAATTAAAATGTTTATTAAAACATGAGCAATAACGGGGAAAAACTATGAACAAAGTAAGCTTAAATTCAGCAGGGTTGGAAACCCACTTAGTTCTGCTGAATGTACAGAGTAGCCTTAAGGAATTGTACCTACACCTATACTTATAAAATCAGAGTTCCTTGCAAAGGAAAGGGTGCAGCGTGCCTCAAGGAAGGGGCTTCTTTTTCTTTCTAGGCCTTGAAAGTGCATTTGTGTGCAATTAATGTCGTATAGCCCATGCAAAGAAACTCTTGTGTCCAGTAGTAAGTTAAATTGCCTGAAATACTTCAACATATCATCCAAGTTCAATGTCCAAATTCATTACTCCCAGGCTTGGGGAACCCGCCTTGTCCCTCTACTGTCCATGTCCTGCTGTGGGTGATGGTACGATTTGCACTTCAGTGGTCTCACCAATGTGCCGTATTTTACCCTGGAGATTAACGAAACTATCTGTTCTGTCAAGGTGGCACTGGGTGTGTTGCATCACAGGAAAAAGATGCTGTGCAAAGGCATGATTTGGTCGGAAACTTTCAACACAAACTTGGAACAGCTTCATCTCGCAGAAACTGCAGCCCCCTTTCACTGGGTGATCCCAGGTACAGTCAGCTTGTATTCCACTCTGAGGAGCCCAGGGCCACCTACCCATGCCTGGGGTAGAAGATGGGAGGAACAGGGTGCTGGGAAGCACCAGCCTCGCCCTGTGTTCCCCTCCCCTCCGCACCCCCAACTTGTTGAGCCCTCTGTCTCAGGAGGGGAAGCCTCCTCTTCTGCCTGCCTCTGAGCACCCCAGCAGAGATTTCCCCCTCCAGTCTGGCTGAAGGTTGGGTGCTGCCGTGCAGATACCTGAGGCTGTGAGGCGGTGCTGGCCCAGTCCCTGCCCCCTGCTCTCCGGGTCTAGCTGGAGCCGCCCAGCTCATTGCACTGCCAGTGCAGGGAAGGAGGTGCACACAGCACAGGTAGGTGAAGTGCTGTGGGGTCCTGGCTCTCCTCAGGAACCCACCAGCTCACTTTTCTCTTCTGCCTGGCTTTTATTTCCCTCTAGCACTTTCCAGCCTGAACCCCTTGAGGGTTCCCTCACTGCATATAGTGCTTTTTTCCAGAGGTGCTGGTAGCTTGGCTGCAAGGGGGAGGATGGGCACTGGCTGTGCAAGGGCTTATCAGCAAGATTTCTGGTTATGAGGTTAGCTTTCTGGTTATCAAGCCTCAGATAAGGCAGCAGCTACATTGGAGTGAGTGATAAAATGTCTAGAATTTCTTTACATGGCAGAGCGACTGTTCAGGGAGCAAGAGGAGAAGGCGGTCTGGGAGCTCCTCATAACTGGAGAGTTCTGCAAGGGTGACATCTCGGAGATCTGATCATAGCATGTGCTGCCATGGTGCAAGGAATGATCTCTGGGGAAATACTGGATGTAATCTGCAAGAGATCCCCAGAGCATGATTTGGGGTTGTCTAAGAGCTGCTGTGGACTTCAGCAGACAGACTTGTTTCACTGCCAGAGGAACTGTTTCATCCCGCAGATTGTGTTACCAAGCAGGGCTATTCCACAACAGACTTCTTCTGCACCTGCCAATTGTTCACTGAAGTTAGTCAGGATAAAAAAGCACTTTCTTAGCATTTAATCTCCTTATATGTTAGTTTAGCATGCTTTAAATAAATTATACTCCCCGATCAAAGTGAATGAATTAGAATAAACAAATCAGGATTGACATTTATAGCATAATTTAAACTATGTGAAGTAATCAAACCTTACTGCAAAATTAATAGGGCAAAGTCAGAAACAAACACAAGAAAGTTCATTGTCCGGGAAACCAGATACTTCTGAATGAGAGACGTACTGTGGTGCTCCCAAAAGAATGGCTGAAAAGGGTTTCAGTGTGTGCAAGAACAGGACAGAGGCGATAGCTTCTTGAAGTCTTAATGTTTAAATTTTTCCCCATCTGTCAGTTTGAGTCACTTCTGTTTAAAGACTGAAGTTAAGTATTTGTGCTAGACTGAAGTATTGCTAGAGGCTGTTAAAAAGCATCTTCACAAAAAAGTACCTTGCTGAAACATGAGATTAAACAATCTGTAAAAGGTGTTCATATTTATCAGATGTTCAGATCTGTAACACAAGCTGTGGCAGAGAACTTTTAATTAAAAAAGAATGGATCCAAATTCAACAGCAAAAGGAAATGCAGAAATTAGGTCTCTTCAGACATACTCTTAAAGGAAAGGGAGAGAAACTGTAACAAAGTCATCCCAGTGTCAGAATGCAGTTGGCCAACAGGGATCTCCATGTAATTTGTTAAAACTGGGGACTAATCCCAGTGTAAGAAGCTGCAATCTGCAGAGCAGGGCGTCATCTAATACCTCACAGTCACCAGTCTCATGGCTGGTCAGAGGGCCAGGCTGAGGGTGCAGAGGCAGAAGATCCTCTCTGCAGTAAACTTAGTGCAGTGTGGATTAAAGTAGCCTGTGGTCCTCGGCACTGCGGAGGGCATGTGGCTGCAGAAATACCTGCATCAAGATCTGTTCAGTCTGTGCTTCCTTTCCATCCCATTGCATTACTGCAGTCTGCATTCTTGTCCTTCAGGAACTAGACTGAAAGAGACAAATTCATTTCATGTAGGACAACTGTGATACTATCAGTCTTTTCTGATGAGAATGAGACACACCTTGATGAACTGCTCCAGGTATCCCATTACTGCTCTTCCAGCTAATTTATCTTTCAATGATCTTCATAGCAGCGATAGCAAGAGCTACTAAAATATGTATTTCCATAGAAACTATGTCCTAGCTGATGGTGAAAAGTTGATTGTATGTTTGAGAGTAGAGCTTTCATCCATCTAAGTAAAGTGGCATGGTCTTGAACTCCAGCCTTCCCATGTGTCACTTTCCTGCTGTTTCCGAAGGGCATAAGGATATTGCCCTCTTTATAGAGTGGCAGCAGTAGGGAAGAGGAGCAATCCTTCACCTTCCGTGCCTGGAGCACCCTGCAATGCCGTGTGGTGAGCGAGAGGGCTGGACCCTCCAGCCATTTGAGTTCAGAGACCTGCAAATGGAGGGTCCCTGACCTGGTCTGCAGTAATTGTGCAGGCAACTTAAGCTAGAGAAAGCTTAGGGTTTGTTTGGAGCTTGTTTACTATTTCCTTTTTCGCTCCCCCAATTTCTTTTCTATTTTATCTGAATTTAAAAGGATTTGTTCGCTTTAACAAAATTGCATTTAAGTAATACTGAAGTGTAAAGTGGGTTAGTAAGTAAGCAGTGCTTCTAGGAAGGAAATTAAAAGAGCTGCTTGGTAAAAGAGAAATAAATCTGTCTGCACATGCACACTTGACAGACTTGTATTTGCATAAAATGTATCTCTATCTTGGGAAAAGACCTATAATAAAAACTTGGGAGCAAGCACTTTTAGATCATTCTGATCTCTATCTATACTCCATAGCTTAGTCTGTCTCTGATTTATAGCTATGAAAGTTTTGTGTGAGTATTGCCTTTTGACTGTTCTTTATGTTTTCCTTTTCAATTTAAATATCTTCTGATTTTAATAAGCACTAGAAGAAATGTCCAGACTTTTGAAGATATGTTTCTTATTGATGTCAGTGAATCATGCTGAGATCATACGCAGTCGAAACACTGAAGGTAAGACCAGATCTCCTGTGTGAGGGATGTATTTTGTGTGGATGGAAAAAGCTATGTGTAGTAAAATAGATGCAGTACTATTTAGTAGCTAAGACTGTATTCTCTGCTCTGTTGACTTCATGGAGCTCTGTCAGCAAAGAATTTAACCAAGATTGCTTATTATTTAGCCCTTTTTTTTTCCACTGTTTTTATGTAAATACCTTTAATCAAAACTGCATTCAATACTTATAAATAAATTAGATGTGTATATATAGTTTTGATCACTGCAGTAACAGGATAATCTTTTACAGATTTGCCTCCATTATTACACAAAGCTGTGGTTAGTATTTTTATTTGATCTCTCTACTAACATTTTGTATTATAATCTATAAATAATAATTTATTACATATATTTATGATTTTTTTTCTTAGGAGGAAGTAATAACTGGGAAATATCTGAATGGTAATATACAAAATTGTTCCCACTTATACTTCTAAAAGGAATTAAAACTCAATATCTCACCATAACTTTTTATGTTCCATTTTTCATGTGCAGCACTCCTTGATATATTTCATTTTCAAAGGTAATGTATTATTCTCACCATCTTGATCTTTTGGTATTATCTTGCACTTCAGATACAATCTGTTTCATTTACATTGAAACTGAAACATTATGGATAGAATAAAATTGCCATGTATGATTACTTTGGTTTAGATCTCCTGTGAGGAATATTTCCTCTTAACAAGGGAAAAAGATGGTTTTCACGATGAAGCAGGAAACATACACAGAATGAGACTGAGAATAAACATCAGCTACAGTTTTCAAATGTTCTGACAATTAACTTTGTTCATATGTTTCAGAATGGCTTCTTAAGGAAATCGGGTGCAGTTCCAGCTTTCTGTCCATCTCCCTCTTTCAGTCCCACTCCATCCCCCATCTATCCCACTTCCAGCTCCTGGTGACTTTTGAATTATTTTCTAATTTTGTCTAAATTTGAAAGAGCACTATAAGCCTCAAAAGCAATTTCTACTCCTACATTCTTTGAGAAAATCAATGGCTGTGTAAAGAAGACACACTGAAATTAATGACTCCGCTGAGGAAAAAGAAGCAGACATTAGTCACTGTACTTTCTTTCTGGAAGTAGATCAGAAGAGGTATAATGGGTGACAGGAAGCACACCTATGGCTTCGGAGTAGCCACAGCACAAGTTGTCTCATGTCTGGAGATGATACTAATGGCAACACATTGGAAAGTAGAGATCATTGTGGGTGGTTGTGGCATTAGATAAAATAACTTCATTCCCTTCCTCCCTGAACTGTGTGTTTTCTTTGCATTAAATCAGTTGGCTATTAGTCTAGTTAGACCAGAAAGCTAAGTACTCGTGTCATTATTGTATTAGTAGTAGTGGGGTTTTTTTGTTTTGTCTTGTAATCTGCTATTTTACATGCTATGTTACTTTGCTGGTATTTTTGGTCCTGTTTTCTGTTACAGTTCTAATGTCTGGACAGCAGATACACTTACAAAAGTCATGGCATATTTTCATGCGCAGGAAGTTATGTTCACTCTTAGCAGTCTACAGGTTTGTGCCATTTAAAAATGTTATTTAAAAAAGCAACCTATCTCTGTAGCCAAAATTACACTATCAGTAATAGCGGTAACTAACAGATCTACAGTGTAGCAGATAAGTATGAAATAGGAATAGGGGCTTTGGTTGTCTTTTTCCGCTAAGATTGCAGGGGTATGCAAGGCAGAAATAATAGTAAGATTTTTTGCTTTTCCTCTGATAGAAAGCAGATGTTAGGAGTTTTCAGATTCAGCTATTTTTTCTAAATTGTAAATGAGTGTATATACATGCTCTTCTCCCCAAAATGGCAGGTTTCTCCACAGATTTGACTGTGGAGGTAGTTTGTGCTGCTTTGGATGGAATGAGAGGCTCCAGAGCATCCTACAAAATACATTCACCTTTTAAAGCTCCTCTGATCTCTGTTTCTGTAAATTGTCAGTGTGAAAATGGTGTAGGAAAGAGTCATTGTTCTTCATCCCTGGTCATTATGATTAGCTATGAGCTGGTTTAAGTGGAGCTGTAGCCTGCTAATCAAAGCCTGAACCCCTCCATCCTCTCTACATGCGCACACACATGCCCTGAAAAAGGTGTCAAATGTGTGCCCTCTGAGCCTCAGGCATTCCCAGAAGCCCACTGCCATGTAGCTCCACAGCACTTGAACCATTTCCCAAGTTCTATTTCACTGTCACAGCTCAGCCAAAGCTACATGAGACTACTATTGCTTCTTCCCATTTGATTACATTTATTAACAGTTTAAGGCTCTAAGCATGCCGCAGGGACCTATCTGTGTTAATATTTGTTGGTGGCAATGCAAGCTAAGCAAAACCAACAAAGAACAGTTTCAACTCAAATTCCAAATTAATTCTGAAATAATTCTGTCAGGAATTAGAAGGGATTTTACTCCAGTCTGATGCTAATGAGCCTTCCAGTGTTTTCTGTTCCAGTGTTAGAATTCCCCTTAGATATTCAAAATAGGAATGAGATTGTTACCTCTTAATGCAATTTGATGTGAGAGAATTTTTGCCTTACAGCCTGGTACAGACTTTTCCTCCCGTCTAATTGCACATTTCCTTCCTTTTTTTAAGTAATAGTTGTATTCACACAGTACCTGATATTTTTTTTTTTTTTAGCTCCTTAAAAGTTTCATTTTCACAGCCCTGCTGTGTGAAACAGGAAAGTATTATTACTCTTGGTTTATGAAGTGAGAACCTGAGGCATCTGTGTTAAATGATTCACTTCAGAGGACTTGCTTGTGCCACTTGGCTCAGTCTAAGAACAGGATTTAAAAACTACTGTCTTTCAGAATTACATTTAGATTATTTTGTTTACTGCTTGTGTTTAGATTTGTTCTAGTTGTTGACAAAACAGCCAATACAGGAGGTAAACACTTAACCCTCCTTAAGCAGAGATTTTCAGGGAGTAAAAGATGCCCCTAGTACAATAGTATGAGTTTTATGTATATTATGCATATTTTTCTATACTCTAGATGTCCATAGAAAGTTACCTGAAGAACCTCTTATACCAGCCTAGGCAGCTACTGTCTGAATTTCAACAGCTTGATCAGCAGCAGTTCCAAACTGCAATGAAGTATCTCTTCAACAGCAGAAAGGACCATCTTGTAAGTTACTCTGCACTTGTGGAAAAGAAAAGCTGCTGTCAGTGGTTCAGATAAATGGGACAAGGCCAGACTTGGGGTATTGCAGTTACTGAGTCAGCTTGGATTAGATTCCAGAGGCCTCTCTCCTAAGGCTGGACTTACTTAATTCTTGTTGTTTAGAAGTTTGATGCCAAGTCCAAGTTGGATATATGGATTTTCTCTGCAATCAGTGGAGAGAAACACATCTCCAGGGAATGATTTACCTTCCTATACAGTATCTAAAGTAGGTAGGACCAGTTGTTCTCAGGGAGTACCTGCTTCTCTTCAGTGGCTAGAAAGAGAGCAATAATGACTAAAGAAGACGAAATTACTTACTAATTAGTTGTGGGAGCATGCAAGCAAATTGTTAGACAATTTGGAGGAGAGGCAGTATAACGTCATTCATTGCCTCTGTGATGTGTCCCTGTGTGACCCATCTTGAAAGTCTTGCTCAAAATCAGTGAGTGCCACCCAGGGAGGATTAACCCTGCAGAAGGAATCTCACTGCAGGGGTGGGATCACAGCCTGGTGTGTGAGAGCACTTGGCATCTTCTCTGCTAGGAGGAGGGCCTCCAGTGTGGGTATCGCTGAGGGCAGAGATTAATCTGGGAGAACTGTAGTGTGTTTCGCCAGGCAAGAGGTGACTGCCCAGACCAAACACTGTATAATCCAGTATTCAACATAATCAAATTAGTATTATTATTGAACATATTAATAAACATAGTAATTATTCAAACAAAAGTAATAATGAGATAATTCTCATTCAATTCTGGTATTATTTCATTTTCCAATAATTCTTTCATGAGAGCACACACTATAACTTTCTTTAATATATATAATTCTTTCATGAGAGCACACACTATAACTTTCTTTAATGTATATAATTCTTTCATGAGAGCACACACTATAACTTGAGCCATTTGGATTATTTTTACGTTTTTCATTTTGATTTTGTCAAAAGATTCAAGCTGCTGTCTGGGCAATGCCGGAAACAAGTTATCTGAAGGAATGCACTAAACAGTAATTTGCAGCTATTTTTCATGAGAACAGGACCATATTTTTTATAGAATGCTTTCTGTTAGGCCTCAAAATTAACAATATACTAAATTAATCATAGAGTTGTTCTATTAACCCTTTGTTGCTTGCAGGAAATGGGAAATATTATTCTTGATTGGGACAAAACTAGAGAGAGAATATTTCAAAGCCCAGGAGTAAACAGGACCTTGTTCCTTATAACACTGGATAAATGCTTTCTGGCTCTGAGTGCTCTGGACTGTGTGGATATCCTAAGCCAGGTTTTGCGTGTGTCAGTGGTGAACTATCTCCAACCTGATGTCATTGGGAGCCTCCCAACCATTCTGCCGGAGGATGCTTTCAGAAACTTGTAAGCCATTTATTTTCCAGACACAATTAAAACTAGTATTTGCTGACTATATATACTTTTAAACAGAGGTTACTCTATGGTCTCAGTCTATTGTCCAGATACTGCTTTCTGCTTATGTGTGGCTGTTTCTAAAAGCATTTGCCCATGTTTGTGATTAAAAAAAAAACCCACCTAGATAGTTAACTCATTAGTGAACTAACATGCCCTTGTATCACTTAGATCAGCGGTATTCAAGGACCTCTATGACAAAACCTCAGCAAATACGCAGAAAGCTCTCTATGGCTGGATGAAGCAGATTCTACAAAAGTCCTATAACATGAGTGGTATGTTATGTACAAAGTGTTTTCTACTTTCTTATCATAAGAGAAAAACAGTCAGCAAAAGACCTATCCATTGTGTTGAATAGTTTCTCAAATTTAACACAGGTCTGTATAAGAGTAGCTGTCCTGAATACAGTAAACAATATATTCGGTATTCACAGCAAATAGTTCTCTAAAGATACTTGCTCTTCATCTCTTGTGCACAGAGCTATACATAAAGTCTGTCTACTACTCAGGTCCTTTTTCTAACACTTAAATAGGATACAGTTGTCAGGTACTCTGCACAGCTGTGTTGTTCACTTCTGAACTCTGATTTAGAGTAGAAAATTAGGTCTGTCTCAGAATACATCAGCCAATGCACTGTTTAAAGTACAACAAATGCAGGATGTTGTGAAAGTTCTATTGCACACGGCACTGACTCATTCAGAAAAGGGATGAGATGATGACAAAGTTAATTAATTCTGATTTTATGCATTTTACCACATCTTTTTGCCTTGTTAATGTGTCTTAAACAAATGTGCCACAGCTGGAACAGCGCAGGACAGGCTCCATGAGGGGGCTGTTATGCAGCAGCAGCACTAATGTGTAAGAGCCAGTACTTGGGCTTTCACTGAACATCCCAGCAGTGCTGTTGTGGGACTATTTTAGACTTTTAGATGTGTATGCTCTTCCTCTTTCCCTGGAAATCAAAAGCAAAATGCCTGCTTCCCTCAGTGCAGCTAAATTTGGCTCCTGGGGTTTTTGCTGTTTCAGATAAGATCACCCAGCTCAGGAGGGACTGAGAATTACCATGCCTTTCTTACGCCTTTATTGCTGCTCCAAATGCAAAGCAGTGCAGATACAGTGAATACTCTCCTGAAGGAACTGTGTGATTGCCAGCTGGTTGTGGTAGTATGAGCTGCAGAGCTCATCAGCCCTGAGCAGGCACAGTTGGACTGCTACCAGTGTCCAGGTTGGCAAGTCTGCAGCTCACTCGAGTGTATCTGCACACCACTCATCACAGCACAGGGCGCAGGACAGCAGAGGAGGCCTGCAATAGTCTGATTCATTCACTTTAACTTTTTACATGGATACCACTGGGATCATGTGGGAAGGGAATCAACCCTCTGCACAAGCAGCATCTTCTTCTCTGTAGTTCAGCAGAAAAGAAACTTGAAAGAAGCCTCATATTTGTGGTGCTTACAGGGCTACCTTCCAGGCATTTTTGCTGGTTTTGGAGGCAGAGGGCTCAACACCCTGTCTCTGTTGTGCAGAATGCAGAGGGCTTCCCCATCATGCTGCATCTCCCCACTGTGCCAGGCAGTCCCTGCAGCTGGATCACTGGGCTGGCAGGAGATGACGTGTCTTAAGAGTCAAACCTTTTAAGAAATTTCTTTGTCGCTCAGTTACTACATTTCATATATTAAACCCACAGGGGTGTTCAGAGGTGAAGCATGCTGGTAGCCTTGCAAACCCAGGAGACAGTAACTGTTGAATTTTGTACCTTATTTAAAAATTTAAAAAAAAATAGTTTTGAGGGATGACTGTTAACTGTGGTTGGTAACTGTAGGTTTGTTCTACTAAAGGCCACAGTTAACATGCTTAAATTGTGCTAGTTTTTGATTAACTTTTCTATCATCTCTTTCAACTATCTTAATGTTCCTGGTAATGGGAGGTAATTAAGGCGCTTAAAACTGGAGGCATGCCAGGTCTGCCGGGAGCCTCATCTCATCTCAGCTAAGGAACTTAGATCTGTGTTTTCAAAAAAAAATCACTTTCTAAATGGGGTCTTTCAGCTTCTGATATTTATAGGCTGGGTTTTGTAGCCTGTTAATACCAGAACTCTTCAAAGTGCACCGACTTTTATTTTAGCAGAGTTGTATCAGCACTGCTAAGGAATGTGTTCAGAGGTGTCACATGCTGAGCCATCCCGATTATGACACCTTGGAGAAAACATTGTCTTTGTGTCTCAGAGTGCCCACCTAGTCCATATATACTTTTTTCTCAGGGATATTTGGATCTTTGTTTCACTTTCAGTCCTTGAGAGAATATTACTGAATGAATGACATTTTTTTAACTGTTATGTGGTATTCTGTATTTTCTGCCAACCTATTTCCATATAGGTGTATGAACGATTTTTCATTTTCTCCATTATTGCTATTGCCTATTGATGAAATAAGTGGGATCATCAGTAGTAATACATAAGATCTATAAAGTATTTTAAAGTATCATGCCTTCATGGTGTTCTTAATTGATATATTTGGTTAGGAAAACTGAATTTTAAAAATGCTGCTCCATATTTAATACTAGTGGTTTCATTTTTTCTGCCCCATACTTTATCCGTTTTGTACTTTGACAACATAAACCCTTAATGGCTTTCATAGGAGAAAATTTGAGACATTGGAACCAGTATTGCATTTAAATTCAAAAATGTATGGGCTTCTAAAAATGTGGTGCTGAAATCTAGCTAATGGAGGGAACCTGACTCTGCTAAGGAGTTTTCTGATTTGCAGATTTCTTTTAATTATTTACCAATAATAATATACTGAGTAAAATATATTTGAAAAATAATTACTTTCTTAACATTGTAGTGAGTATTTATTTGTATGAAACAGAGTTCAATGAATCAACTTCTTGGGTCACTGCAGAAAGCTTATGGATCTTGGGAAGATACATGGTCCATCTCCCACTGGAAGAAATTCTGAAAATTAGTCTCAATGAAGTAAGTAATAAAACATGGTTGGATATATCATTGTCAAGTGATGTCAGCTACAAACAGTATGAACACAGATGTAAATTTAAACATGAGAAACGTTAATATAATTTAGTTATTTAAATATAAAGAGAATCCAAATTGATTGCCATGCAAATATTCTTCCATTTCTGGAATTTGAAAGTGCCTATCATTAATATGTAATTATTTGTCTGGATCAGGCTTCTGTGACTTGTACTGAGAGATACTGAGGGACTAGTGATGAAGACCTTCACGTAATTTGACAGTTTGACAGAGACTTGTTCACTCAGCTTTGCCTTCAAAAATACTGCATTATCCAAATGTAGCTTCTTCTTTTCTGTGTTACATGAATGAAGACAATTAATTTAGTGTGTCAAACATTTTATTGGATGTAATTTTTTCATAATCCTGACTCATAATTTTGTTTGTACTGGTCAGATAAGACTATTCATAAGCTATGACAATGCAACAAAGCAGTTGGACACAGTGTATGATATCACACCAGAGCTTACACAAGGCTTCCTGGAAAGAATAAACTCATCAGGATTTGATATGAGAAACACTTCAACTATCTACAGGCAAGATTGCTTTTCCTTTTCTTTTATGGCTCTGTATGGAGACAATGAATAAGTAAGGAGGAGAGAGAGGAGCAATAAGTAGCTGATGAAACTGTTGATGTGGCATAGCTTTTTCCTTCCAGCAGAAAAATCTAGGCTGAAATCCAGCCCTGTTTAGCAACAGTGAAGAATTGCTGCTTTATGAAAATTTGGCAGTATGCCTAATTAGCTAATGCTTTGTCTCCTGCTTCACAGTGAGGAGTTGTCTGTAGTATTCATAGGAGGACTACAGCAGTATCTGGGGGTCCCAATCAGAGTTCCATCACATTGTACAGTACAGCAGTAAAATAATTTGGGATGGAGGGACATGAGTTGACTTGGCTGTTTGAATCACAGAAGATGGAGGTGTTTTGTGGAAATCATGTTACAGTTAAGATTGAAGGAGGAAATCTTAGTTCATGCCAGCCAGGACTGCAGGTGCATTTTAAATTACATGGGTGTCACCAGAAAGGTTGCAAAGTGAACAGATCTAAAGCCTGTCCTGAAGGGTAGAGATGAGCCATGTTTAAATGAATGTAACTGTTATGTGTCTAAGCAGGAAACTGGATTTTCAGGGCAGTCAAATCAGCACTGAACTTACTTTAACAATAACAAAAACCCAAAATAAACTGCTCTTACTCATAAATACGCAGTGAGCGTGAGCTATCTGTGAGGAAGTGCTGTACTCCACATTTGCATTTACACTGTCCTATCAGGGGATGTATTTAGTCCCAAGACACCACTGTCTGTGACGTTATTTGTAGTCTCTTTGGGGAATACCTTGGAGTTTTAAACTAATGGAGAATATGCTTTATGGCTTCAGAGCTCCTATCATTATTGCAATGTAATTCATGCACTTCCATGAAATACTGCTGGTTGTTGGAGGTGTAAGCAAGAGAAGAATTATGCCCACACTCTAAGTTCCAGTGTCAGAAATCTTAAAGATTATTCTACCACTCACAAGAGGTGCCACATTCTCACAGATGAGAGAAATGTTGTGCTCCATAATCCTTAATATATTCCATTTTTACAACACACTTATTTTATATTACTCATTTTAACCATACTGATGATTTAAATGCACTTTTACTTTAAAGAAGTAGTATTATTCATTGCTGCTAGTCCCAAAGGAGACGAAGAGTTCTTGGAGGCTATGCAATAGTGCATCAGAAGGTAATTATTTCTTATAAAAATGCTGTTATAGATTTTTTTTTTAATTTATATGTTAGTTTGATGATGTCCCATGAATTCTGATGGGCTGCTGAAGCAGTGTTTTATTATATCGCTGAGCAGGTTGTTGTTGAGGGACTAAAGGAACTAAAAGCTAAGCCTTTCCAGAGAATTTTACTTAGCTTGTGATAGTGCTGCAGCATTGCCCACTGTTGATTTAGTTCACATCTGGACATTAGAGTCTGCTCATACCTGCATTACTGAACTGCTGAAAAACGGAGACTGTAGCAGGAAAGCTGGGCTTTGGCCTTGTCTTTGTAGGTTCTAGTTCTGAGTAAATTCTAAAAACAAAGACTAAGATTTTTCAGGGACATAGGGGTTGATTTAGGCTTCCTACAAACTAATTCATCGCCATCACTATGAAGTTTTAAGTCCAGAGAAAGGGATACACACTTCAGACCTCTCTTTGCAGGGCTGCAGGTAATGGCAGTAAATAAGCAGCAGGCCTAAGTCAGAAGGCCACCTACAGTAGGCGCTTACCCTTCATGGCATGACTACTTCTCTCTACCAAGTATGGCTGTGGTTGTGCATTACAGAGGATAATGGAAATGCTAACTTAAATAATACAGCACTAATACTGTGAAGGAAAATGAACTCCACTTCTAGTTCATAACACTGCCTTGCAAACTGCTGTGCTGGCACAACTGAGACAGTGAACCTCAGTGCAGATTCTCAAACCAGTGTTGAATTGGACAGGTCTCCGTACACTGGCCAGTCATATTTTTGATGTGTCATACAGCAGGCTTTGTTTAAACATGAAGTGCTAGGGGCTATCTAATGCTCTAGCTGCTACTCTGACACGTGAATGAGTTATGTTGCATGTGAAATCCAAGCAGGATTCAGAGTTCAAAACATCCCACCAATCCAGGTAAGAACTCAGTAAGCCACTTCTAGTGACTTACTAAATAGCCCTCTATCCCTTTCAAAGCGGAGATTACACTGCAAATTCTGCCAAGGGGAGGGGGAGGCATTAGCTGGAAAAATCCAGCCATGGACTCCGGAACTAGGAAAATTAAATTTTTGACAGCACAAGTAATTTTAGGCAGAGCTCAGCTGAATACAGAGAATAGTGCATATGTCTCCCAGTTTCAGGCTATGTGGAGTTTTAAGGATTGCAGTTTAACGCACTGACGACAAACAGAAATGGCTCAAGTTTTGAGCACAAGTAGGGTGTACCACACAGTATTTCAGTTTCCTGAGAGTGACACCTTTTATGTCAGAAGTTAGCTAAAGTATTTCTTCTATATAGGTTAGGTTTATTGGTTTGCTTTTATGATGACATGGAACAGATGGATGCAGCTGTGGCCCGGGCTCTACTTCATCAAATGATTAAGTGTAATCAGCTAAGAGGTTTCCAGGCCGAGGTTCAGAAGGTGGGTACAGTACTTGTTCTTCTTGCCTAATCTAATCTTGAAAAGAGAGGAGAAGGGACTTTCTACTTGAACATAGAAGGAAAAGAGTGAAAAATTACTGGCATGTCAAAGATAAGTAGAAATAGTTCTTGAGCATATACTGCAAAGAATAAAAGTCCTTCCTTTTTTTAAATACTGCTCATTCTTTTTTTCATTCTGTTTCCTCCTGTTCCATATTCCTTTCAGAACTGTGGTTCTGTTTTTATTTTTTATGAAGCGTGGTCACTAAATGGTTGCCAATGCCTATTCCAGAAACTCCATTTAAATGTTTGGGTGATAATGGAAATTGGTTCTTGAAAATCTTTTATTCCCCGTCTGCTTTTTTGTTTGTTTGCTTTAGCTCAAATCTCAACTCCTGGACATTGCCATGCAAAACCAGACATTGAATGATATCCTTGGATCTCTGTCAGATGCTGTAGTTGGACTAACCTCAAGTCAGCTGGAATCTTTGTCACCTGAAGCAGTGCATAATGCTATTGCAACATTAAACCAAGTATCTGGGTGGACAAAAAGCCAAGTTATGATTTTATCCAGTAAATATCTCTCTTATGAAAAGGTACCTCTGATAACAGCTTTCCTACCTTTTATTTTCAAAAGTGAAATGGCTTTTTCTCCACAATAACTGTAGATCTTGAAAAGTTTAGTACAGGATTTCTATTTAATACTGTTAGTGGTGTGAAAAAATTGTTTAAATCAAATAAAAACTTCCAAGAGTGTACCTCCCAGGGTAATTCTCTAGTAACAGAGAGAATGACTATTTGTATTTGGCAGTTGTATATATTGTTTTGTCTCTGTCACTACCCTAAGCAGAATTTGCATGAGCAGAGATCCCAGGCTATATATTCAAATATGCTGTAATGGAAGGAGTCAGGGTCCTTTCTGCAGAGTCAAAAAAAGGACTGTCTGGGAAAATTGTTGCATTTGTTCCCTGGACAGATTTATCTGAATTGGAAGAAATCTAAGAAAAGTGCATCCTCAAGCAAGAAATGTTTTAAGTATTCAACAATAATAGTTTTGATTTATTAACTTTTGCTTTAAAATATATCTATCTGCTGTTCACTAGCCAGAAAACTTTGTTTGTTTGTGCTGTTATCTCTGCAGGTTTTATCATTTTATAATGTTAGTCAAATGGGCGCATTGGTAACTGGTATCAGTACCCAGTCATTCTACAGCATGAACCCAAAAGAGCTTTCTCACATTATTCGAGGCACAACATCCCAGTACTTACCTGACTTATCACCTGCACAGCAACAAGGGATCCTCAGGAAGGTGATTATAAACTTGACAGTGCAGCAGGTTCTCAGTGCACATGAGCACAATAACCAGAAACGCAGGGCATGATTTAAAATGTTGTCACTAAGATATGTGTTTTAGCTCAATGGTTAATATTTCTAATGTATTTTTCTGAATACCAAGTATATTTTGAAGGCTCTCTCTTGCTTAGTTCCATGATGTTTTTAATGCTAGCATGTTTTACTTTTATCCTCTTAAGAGAAATATTACACAGAATAGAAAGGACAAATCCTGTAAGTCTAAGCATCAGTTCTGAAATGCCATGTATTATGTGTTATTCTTTTTAGATAGCTGCATCTGGAGATTTTTCTTCATCAGTCAAAGATATACCAGGAGCTTTCTTTAAAGAAATATCTCTTCCTGGTTTATGGAAGCAGACTGGATATAATTCTTCAATGATGAAAGAAAAAGAACTAAGAAGAAGCCAGGTAAAAATTATTATGCAGTTCCCATTTCAATGCAATTTAGTATGATAGAAGAATAGAAGAAGTGTTGTAACACATATGTGTTCAAGGAACATTGGGAAAAGGAGGGAACTGTCATATATATATATATATATATATATATATATATATATATATGTATGTATATCTTGATGTAAACAACCAGAGGTCATTTAAAACCTAAGCAGCAATTATGAGACAATGCTATGGAAAGGAAAGCATTAATATGCTGAGTTTAAATGGCTTCAAGATTCTGCCACATGCATTTTCTCTTTCCAGTACTCTATACTAGACATTTGCATGTAGTCAGCCCTTTGACTCTGTCCAGAAAGATGAAAGGTTGAACCAGATGATCTCCAGAGGTCCCTTCAAACCTAAATTATTCAGTGCTTGTGTGCCATGGGCATGTTTAACACCGTCTTATAATGCCAGTCAGCAATGTCCTGTCTTGTGAAGAAATTCAGCACTGGGTGACAAATGTTTTGGTTGGCCAAGCTGGACCATAGAAATATCTTTAGACTACATAAGAAAGTTAAGCATGCAAAAACCTTGCAGTAGTTATTGTATCTTATAACTGGAGTACCTAAGCTTAACTTTAAATATGATGGGTTTTATTTCAGGCTTTATATCTGTATGAATTACTGTCTAAGAAAAACTACCCTGTTGATCTTCTAAGGTATGGATGACAGTCTATCTTGAAATGGTGGTTAAGTTTAGTTTTGCTATGGGAGCATTTTTGAGGTAAACAGTATGTGGTTATTTTGTACTATCTTATGTTTATTCATTCCTTGATGCCACAGGGTAATTCACCTTCCTCATTAAAAAGGGTCTTCAAATCCAAAATCAGGATTGCAGAGGTTTTGGTATAAAGCTCAGTCAATATTTTTTCAATTTGATTATGGTTTTACTTTCAGTAGCCTTTCAGTTACATGAAATGGGAAAGAGAGGCAGTCAAGAAACTGTGTTTTAGGACATGGCTGTGGGAAGTAAGGACTAGATCCTGCTTAAACATTCAAAAGACTGAACTTTGCTTTTCCTATCAGCACAGGACAGCTTGTGAAAGGAGTAACTTGTCAACACATTGAAAGTATGGGTACAGACATTTTTTTAAACACTTTTAAATTCTTTGAAACGAATCTTCATCTACTTTCTCCATATCAGGTAAAATCAAAGGAAGACTTTGTGTACATAAGCATACTACCTAATAGCCAAGCTGTAGGTAAATTAGAATTCGGTTAATACTTCTTTTTTTTTTTTTAATCTTGTATGTGTGAGCTTGTCTGTTAACATATTTCATTTAAATCTTTTATGTGTGAATTTGTCTGTTCTTATACTTTGTTTTGACGACTTCATTTTTTACAATTTGTAAGAAATTCCTACAGTCGTCCTACTTGCTAATTCATGAGTAATCTGTTTGGAAATGTATGTAGATTTTGAAAACATATAAATGCTCTCATGCACCCAAATACAGGATGTTTCATCTCTGATGTTTACAAAAAGAAAACTCTAAACTACTATAAAAAAGCCAAAGAAAAATGCTCTTTGAAGATAATATGCAGTTTTATATATGCTAAATTATAAATTGTAATAAACCATAATTTCCTTCTTTTTCCGTATTTCCACATGTTCAAGATATTACTGTTTTGTTTCTTTTAGATTAATTGTTTGGCATGGAAGTTTTGGAAAGTCTCCAATGTATCTACTCCTCCATTCCTCTTACTGGTGCTTCCGTGAGTTACATCTTACTACATCTGAAGTTAATTCATCTGTAGCACCACATTCAGACTAGTCCTTCTGAGCGCTTTTAAAATAATCTCTTCAGTCCTGAGAAAACTGATGATTCAAAGAAATGGTAGATTATAAAAAGTGGTCACTGATTGTAGCTGAAATGTCTCAAGTATAAGTTGGCAATACTTGGTGTCTTTTAGTATAGCCCATTTTTGTCACAGTTGTGGATTCCTTTGCATCCTTGAAATCAGAATCCCCTGAAGCTCTTTGTGTCCAGACTAAACCATGGTGCAGTGGTGTGGCAGCAATGAAGATTAAAAAGCTTGTAATGCTGCTGCTTATACTGTTGCTGATCTCTGCTAAAAGAAAGGGGCTCATTTGCTGGGCTTTCTTGAACGTACTTGTTTAGAATTACAAAAATAACATAAATACGGCTTATGCTGGATTCTGTTTTCTTTGGGTTTTGGTTTGGGGTTTTGGGTGGGTTTTTTTTATTTTTTTTTTTCCCCTAGGTTGGGAGACTTGGTTTGCTTCTTTGTTCAGGTATTTTTTTGAGAGTGAATATCTTACAACAAAGCCATTGGGCTCTCCCAAGCATATTACTTCATATGTTTAAAATCATTTCAGTGTGTTTAAAGGCATTTTTGTAAGTTAGCAAAACTTTGCTTTATGTAAATAGCCAAGTAATATTCAGTGACAGCTTTTTTCCTTAAGAAAAAAGATAATTGTACCTTGATACAAATTCCTGAATTGTACAACTTGTTAATTCCCCTTTTTCTTTCTTTCTTTCTTCCTACAAGCTTAAAGGGATAAAAGGGAATGAGAACTGTTCTTTTCCTGGAATAATTTTAATTGAAAAAAAGTGAGGAAAGAAAAGCATTCTCTTTGGGAAGGCATTATTCTCTTTAAAAATAGTAAAATAATACTAGAAAGACTTTAATACAAGGCTTTCTATAAGCTGCAGCTCCAAGTTATTTGGCCAACAGTTGTTGGCTTGTTCAGGGCTATCAAAAGTCACTGGTACTCTTGCCTACAAACCCTGGTAATGCTGGACTTGTGCAACTCCGGGATATAGCTTTATTTACAAAGGCTGCTGGCCACTCTAGATGGTAAAGAGTATCATTTTGTTAATTTGGCAGGCCTCTTGGACTTTGATAAAAAGGAAGCCTAGTCTAAAATTACTTGCTGTCCTTAGTCCACCCACCACATCTTCATTCATCAGAGAATTATTCCTAATAAAAAGAGGAAAGGAAAAAAGTTTAAGAATTGCAAACAGTCTCGTTTCATATGGTGTTAAAGCACCTCAGAGCACTTTCATCCACTTGCAGCTATTTACAACCCTTAGCCTTTTTTTGAAGTGAGGCACATGTGCTCATGAACTGGAAGAAGATCTGAGTTAAAGTAAGGTGTGGATTAATTTCAACTTTTTGGGTCCGGCCCATTTATAATATTTCAAGTCCAGTTTTTCAAGTGTAATTTTTCCATCATCGCAGATTTTATGGGTGTGGTTATGGGTGTATGAAGGTCAGGTTTATATTATGAGATAATTTGAATTCTTTCTGCAGGATTGAGTACCTGGAGTATGTTTCAGGCCCCTTGTGTGTCCCTTTTGTTGCAAGTCTGGGGAAGACTGAGATGAATCTTTTGAATCCCAGCCTTCACAAAAAGAATGCTGTCCTACAAAAAGTACAGGAGTGCTTGGTAGGTATGGCTAGGAGGGATAAGCAGTGGAGGGGAGTTGCAAAATAAGTAATCTATACTGAGCCACTGACAGTTCCAAACTAAGCGAGAGTGATTGATTAGTTTTCTTTCCGTTTATTGTTATGCGGTGCTTCACAAAGTTATTCTGCCTACTTCAACTCTCCAGCCTGCATGCACATGCTCATGATCTCCTGTATACAGAGAGCAACCCGAGACACAGGCTTTCCTGCTCTGTGTTTGTGCAGTGAAACCATAGCTGATGGTATCTGAGAGCCCAAAAGGTAATAGCAAGGCATGCTAATTTCTTCATTGTCACAAGCAAGAGCAGCTTAGACTATTGCTGAGCTCAGAAAAACTCTTAGTGCCAGGGGCCCAAGCAACCTACTGTACCTGACCTGCTTTGAGCAGGAGGCGTGGACTTGGTGACCTCCAGAGGTCCAAACTCCCTTCTGCAGTTCTGTTTGCACATGTTATTGCACTGCATTTCATGCAGTAGTGTCAGTCACCATCTACATAAATTCTTGACTTGCCCATATGTAGTCTGTATTATGTTTTATTATATATCTGTATTATGTTTTTCTCATGTATAGTTTATTTTGTTGTTCCCTGCCTAAAGAAACCTTTTTGTAGCTTCCTTAACAATTTTCCTTGACTCGATGGATCTTACAAAGTATTCTCATGAAATGTCATTGCTGACCACAGTGAACAGGCTGGGACAGCCTGGAGCTGATCCATTTGCATCTGGAGCTGTTCCCTCTTGCTCCAAGCAGTGCTAGTCCTGTAGAGCTGTGCATGGAAGCTGTGCTCCATGGGAGAGAAGGTGGTACAAGGGGGATTCTGTGAATTCTGCTCTCTAGGAAGTTCAGCAGTCATTAGTTTTTAGGGGAAACTATTTTTTTGATGTAGTTGTGAATATTTACATCCTTATACGTACTAACCAGCCATGTAATCCCTAGAGCTTTCGCAGCTGCTATGGAAAACCCTCAGAGTTAAGCCACCTGACAGCAAGAACTTCTCTCCCTTTTGTCATAAGGGGCCATGTGAGGGCTCTGCTGCCAGGCAGAACTGCACCACGTCTGCAGGTAGTCACCTGGATAGACTGTGACAGGAGATTTAGTCTAATTTTTTTATGTGTGCTTCAATATGGGATGAAGAATACACTGAAAGCTCTAAGTGCTTATTAAATATCACCAGTTGCATTGGTAAAAGCAAAAAGTATAAAGCAGTCTCACCAGAAATTGTAGATTAAGTTGCCAGTGCAAACTGTTGGGCCTTTGTTCCTTAAAGGGTCATGGAGCTTAAATGTGTTGTGATGGAGTTGAGTGATACAGAGCTAAGATTAGCTCTACCAACAAGGTAAATGCTTCTTGTTTCAGAACGGCTCCATTGCTGATGAATATGATGTTGACCTACTTGGAAATTTAATCTGCCACTTACCTCCAGCCTTTCTACATGGCAGAATGTCCCTGAAGGCAATGGCAACAGCCCTTCATCCCTTCAAGCTCTGCCAACAGCTCAGCCATGAGCAGAAGACTGAAATTAAATACAAACTACTTGAGTTATATGGGTAAGGTATTAAATATACCACCTTGCTTATGCTGATGGCTAAGCCATGCAAATACCAACCATTTTCTTTGTCCAGATAGAACTGCAATGAAAACAACACAAAGAACTTCTGTCACTGACTGAACTTGGGGTCTCTGTCCACTAGAATGACATTTCTGTTCTTGTGTGTAACATAACTGTGGAACAAAATACAACCCCAGGGACACCCGGCATGATTTAATTCCCAGAGGAAAAGGAGAGAAAGTGTAACGTTTGAGGAGGGTCAGGCAAAGAGAGTCTCTGATATGGCAAGAGAAATGGTGTTACAGACAAAGAATGGTGCAGGAATGCAAAGAATGGGAAAATTGAGATGGGATACTCAGTATGCTGGTGTGAGAAGAGAAATTAAGATGACTGCAAGCACCTGTGGCAGTGGGAAAGAGCTAAAGAAGCAGAGGGATATGAAGTTCAACCACCTGAAGCAACAAAGCAGACAGCATGTTAGGTATCATTAGTGACTCATATTTGGAGGCTGATTGGAACACTGCTGTATCAGTCCTACAATAAACAAAGCCATCCCCTGTCTGGCAAGAATATACTGTTTCTCTCTTGCATTTGTCTCTTAGAAGTATGTTGCATTTGGAAAGACTGAATGTATAGTTTCTAACCACCCGTCAGCCCTAAAGACTGTCACTTGATTCACCTAATTTTAGTTGCTCATTCAGCTTCCTTCTAGTCAGCATTTTTTCCAGTAATGGAATAGCTACATTTTCCACCAGATCGCACCCCTGCATTAATCTTGATACAGATCCATTTTATTGAATCATAACTTACTGTGCTAAATTGTTTAGTTTAGTTTATTACTTGTCTAGTCAAACATCCTCACAGTTGAGCAACAAATCAAAGAAAGTTTTCTGTGAGAACTCGTACCAGCAACAGATTTGTTACTATGACCTTCTTCAGGCTCTTTTAGGCTGAAAATTATTTATCTAAATGGTTTCTAAAGTCAACCACCAACTGGGTTGGTTAACTTTTGTCAGATTTCTATCAAACAAAAAGGCCAAACCTGCATGGTGCTAAAGTACATACGTTTTGAAACACCCATCACCACTCAGAATGGAACCTGAACTTGATTTTAAGACCTGAAATTCCTACAAAAAAAAATTAGCATGTTATTTTAAGAGCTATGGTATCTATCATACAATTGCTCTTATACAGAAATGGCATAGGTGTCATTAGATGTGGCTCTCCAAGGTGTTAGATCTGCCTTCCATAACTCCTGACATTTCAGATGAATGAAATAACAGACAGTAAAAATACAGAGCTAATAAGGTATGGATTTAAATCCTCTGTTCCATCACCTGTGTTTCATGTTTCTCTCCCTCAGTTTTAAAAAGGCAGCATTGGGAGCAGACTGGTGCCACACTGAGTTACTTTCCTGAGTTGTTCAGTGAACTCAGTCTTCTCAGAATGAGGGGAAAACTGTTCACTTCTCCTAGGTGTTTCACAGACCTCTGCTTCAGAAATGCTGAGAATACTGTGACTATTGAGGGAGAGAGAGAGCTCTGTTACCACACTATTTGAAGGCTTTATCTGGATATATTGAGAATTTTGCTAATGCCACTAATGCTCTTTGTATCAGAGAGATGACAAAATGCAGTCTGTTGCTAATAAGCAATTGGCATAGAATGTCTGTGTTTCAGACATATATGATACAGTATAAAGAAACCCTGTGCAATTTTAGTATAATTTTGATTGAAAACATTATTCATTAATGTAATTTTCCAAAATATTTCTTCAGTTTCCCGAGCAACTGGACAGCGGAAACGACATTAGATGTTGGACCATTCATAACTCTGCTGTCAAAAGGGGAATTAAACATCCTTGCTGAAAAGGTATGTTTTTAATATACTTTTTAAATTTGTAAAAGATAATGCTAGAATTTTGCTTTGTGAATGTCATGGAATCATTTAGGTTGGAAAAGACCCTTAAGATCATTGAGTCCAACCATTAGTAGTACTGCCAAGTTCACCAAAGTTCACTGCTAAACCATGTCCCTCAGTGCCACATCTACATGTCTTTTAAGTACCTCCGTAGCTGGTGAATTAACCACTTCTCTGGGCAGCCTGTTCCAATGCTTTACAACCCTTTTGGTGAAGAATTTTTTCTGAATGTCTAACCTAAACCTCCCCTGGTGCAACTTGAGGCTTTTACCTCTTGTCCTATCACTTGTTACTTGGGAGAAGAGACTGACACCCACTTCGCTACAACCTCCTGCAAACTATTAGGTACTTGTAGAGAGAAGTAAGGTCATAATGCAGTCTATGTGACCTGAATGCTAAACTAGGTAAATAATTCTCTTGGCAAGGAACTGTGTGTATTGCTTTCACACATTCTCCACTCCATCAAAATTTCTTCTTCAAAGTAGTGGTAGTATAACCAATTATAGAACCATAGAATAGTTTGGGTTGGAAAGGACCTTAAGATCATTTAGTTTCAATCCCCCTGCTGTGGGCAGGGACACCTCACACTAAACCACGTACCCCAAGCCTCCATCCAACCTGACCCTGAACAGTCAGGGGTGGAGCATTCACAACTTCCTTGTGCAACCCATTCCAATGCCTTGCAGTAAAGAACTTCTTCCTTTTATCTAACCTAAACTTCCCCTGTTCACATTTGAACCTATTACCCCTTGTTCTAGTACGACAAAGAGTCCCTCCCCAGAATCCCTGTGGGCCCCCTTCAGATACTGGAAGGCTGCTATGAGGTCTCCACGCAGCCTTCTCTTCTCCAGGCTGAACAGCCCCAATTTTCTCAGCCTGTCTTCATATGGGAGGTGATCCCATGATCATCCTCATGGCCCTCCTCTGGACTTGTTCCAACAGTTCCATGTCCTTTTTATGTTGAGGACACCAGAAGTGCACACAGTACTCCCGGTGAGGTCTCACGAGAGCAGAGTAGAGGGGCAGGATCACCTCCTTCAACCTGCTGGTCATGCTCCTTTTGATGCAGCCCAGGGTATGGTTGGCTTTCTGGGCTGCGAGCACACAGTGCTGGATTATGTTAAGTTTCTCATCAGTCAACACACCCAGGTCCTTCTCCGCAGGGCTACTCTGAATCTCTTCTCCACCCAGCCTGTAGCTGTGCCTGGGATTGCCCCAACCCAGGTGTAGGATCTTGCACTTGACTTAGTTGAACTTCATGAGGTTGGCATTATATTCATGTATACAATAATAATTATATATTGTCATGTAGGAAAAAACCCAGTGCATTTATAGTGACAGAGACTCAAACATTTTTAGTACTTTATACCTTGCAGTGTTGTTTCCTCCCTTCTCCTACCTTCCAACCATGAAAGTTGTGTTTCTTATCCTATTAATGAGATCATACTGATTAAATTAGCATTTACTCATGTGGCCCTTTGCCCTAGGGCCAGTGTAGCATATGTAACAGTGAGCCTCAGCATTGCACTTTGTAGTTTCTTTGCCCTCTTTAGTTCTTCTAATCTTGTAATGTTTATGTATAGGACTAAACTATACTGGAATGAGGAATTAATTCTTCAAAAGTAATATGTGAGCACAGTCAGTAAATATTCCTCAGAAGATAATGTTTGTAACTGAACAAATAGAACAGGACTCTTCCACTGAAAGAAAGTTGTCTAGCACAGTGGAGAAGAGAGGTCAAAAAAGCCTAAAACACGTGAATAGGTTAAAATTATTTCTCTTAATTTAATTGGGTCCCTATCCTCAATTCTTATACTTATCTGACAAATTTAAGGCAAAATAAAGTACTTTCTGTACTACACACACTGAAATGGTGGAACTCATTGTTACAGGAGGATCTGGACACAGACTGCAATAAGACAGTGCTCAGGTGTTGCTGAGAGGGCATACAAGAGGGAGAATCATTCAGAATTTGCTTTGTTTCCTCTTTTTTTTTTTTTCCCTCAGATGTATGCTGTTGACCTTTGGAGTAGCAGCAAATTTACTCTCCTTTTCTAAACATCTGCACATATAGGAAGGAGGTCTGCACAATCTTTCTCTGCAAACTGGTTTGTTTTAAAAGGGAAAAGTCCTACTTATTCTTTCTTTCCTTTTGAAGTTCCCAGATATCATTTTACAAATAGCAAAGACAAGCGGACCAATTTCTTCAGCTGAAGAGCTTCTATCAACTGTATTTGAATCTGTCTCCAATGCCACTGCCAACATCAAATCACCTGTCACCAGACCTGGTCAGTATTTCACATGGTATCAGTCAAAGTTACAGATTTACAATGGTGCCATTTTGGGCTGTGCTGGTGCAGTTCAAACAGACTTTTTTGTTTCACTTTATCATTAAATACATTCTGAGAAGCCAAACAACAAAAAGCAAAGCCTCAAATAATTTAAAGAGGGTCAGACTTACAGCAAAACCAGTTAGTCTTTGTTCTCTTGCCCATGGTTGTCTGATACATTGACCAATTGCTGAAACACTTAATTTCATTACAGGATTGCACAGTTAAGCATCTTCTGGAATTTATCTGACTGCACAAAGGAGAAAGATGAATTATTTGAGTTAGAAGGTTTTGTTTATTTTAACTTTCCTGTGTAATTTAAGTGAAAATCCTTGAATTAAAAACCTATGAAGGTGATAAGTTACTGTTGTGCCAAAAGATTGCACACAGCTAATCTTTTGCCAGACATGGGCATATGTTGACTCGGCTGTTCTTAAATCTACATTGATGGCACCGTGTTTTGTCTGTCCAAATGGACAAAGTTTGCTATAATCTAAAAAGTATTTTAATTGGCAACTGAACTAATCTATTAGTGACATTATCTCTAGTAACAAATGGATCATTTTCTTTGTATAAGGTACATTCTTTGACTATATTCTGTTACTACAATAACTTTATTCTTTCTCTTGAAATTCACCCAGGCAGAATTTTTAAGCTATGCCATCCTATGCCATGGATAACAGCCCTACTAGGGGCCGAGGCTTTGGAAAGCGCTAATGGGAATTTAGACCCCCACAATTTCAAGGAGTTTGTTACTGTTTGCGTTTATGTCTGAAAGTTTTCCCATTGGTTCTCTGCCCAAGAGAATACAGATCCAAACTCTCAGCAAGCCCTTGAGGCACCATGGAAATCCATCTGCTTGTATAATGATAACTGTGTATCTCTGGGGATGAATTTTTGCTCCTGATACTGCTGTATTTGTATACAGAGAGAGACAGAGGGTGTTCTACAGAGTTGTAGTTTTACATAGCCTGGAAAAAAAACATGACCTCTGTTGATCAGAGGAGTCATTACACAGCTAACATGCTCTATAAAGTGCAGAATCTATCTGGTGGAATAGCAGTGTTTGTCCATCTGTATGAATGAAATTCACTCTTCCTTTAACAAGTAAACCATCAGATCACCAGTCTTTAAACATGGCACACAGGACTAGAGGTTCCGCATCAGGCAATTCTGTATGTTTGTGTCTTTACATGTGCTTTATTAGGCTGAGATCACAACACCATGAATCCCAAAGACTTCTTTAAGCATGCTAACTCAGGTACAGCCCAGTTGCAGAGCACTCTCATCTGCATTGCAAGGACCAAACTTGCCAGTGAAGCTAATGATCTTTGTCAAAGGGTAACTTGGCTCCAGGGCTATGAGAACTTGTCATTCACTTTGGGTGCATGAGCTCAGCTGAGGGGGTATCTGGAAGATAAAAATTTGAAGGATTTTTCATGCTAGTCTAAGAAATATTTCCACAGTTCAAGTGTGTTACTGAAGTTCTGTTACCAAACATCAACTCCACACAACTCACACAGTCATTTCAATAAGGAATTAAATTTTATGGCTGATTTGGCTCTTATCTCATATTATGATATGGCTGTAACTCACTAAAACATTGGGTATTGTGCAAATGGCTCTGGAATAACACTGATGCTCTTCATGGTACCAACCTGCTATTTTACATTTCTCGCAGTCCCATTGTAAGCTAATGTTAATAACGATAACAATTAGCAGTGTCAGAGTTCTTACATCTCTGTCTGCATCAAGAAAAAAAGGTAGTACTTAGAGCAAAATGGAAAATAGGAGGTAAAATGTGGAAATCGTGTGCCTGAGGTGCTACTGGAAAGCAGTGGCAATGCTGGAAAAAGAATTCAAGTTATTTACTTCAAGCACTGAGATATTATACTATGTTACATATAGTATACGTTCTTCATCAAACTAAATGCAATTATATAGCAAAAGGAAGAGTGAAGTAGTATCAGACACAGGAAGCAAAGCCAGGAGTCTAGTTAATATTTCCCTCTGTAATTGCACCAGTGTATCTGGTGTGTTACAAATAATAAAATCAATATTTTTTTTTTTTTTTGTAAGAACACAAAATATTAGGTTTACTTGACTTGGGGAAGGGAACTGCATTGTGTCTTGATGGGTAGTATTTACATAATAAAAGCTGACCTTTTGCAGCAGGGGAAAGTGAAACAATGCAGCTTCACAAGAGGGTGGTGTAAAGGGAGAGCAGAATGTCAGCTGGTACAGTGGAAGCTGAACAACATTTTCGTTTGCTCAACAGATTCAGTCTTTTCTGTGTTCTACCCACTACTGCAGCTTCCTTTGATGCAAGTAAATCCCTTCTCTGCCTCCTTTCAAAGTACAAATCTACTTTGTATATCCTCACTTTAATTTGTCTATCTGAGGGAGCTTAGCTCAGGCACAGCATCTGTGAAGTTCTTGGGTTTTACTGGTAACAACCGTATCCGAAGACACGTAGGGATTATTTGGTTTAGGTAATTATTAAATAAGGTTTTCCTAAATTAGTGACAGGACAGAGAGCAGTAAGCCACTACATTAGGATTCTAATTTCTGCTTTCCATCAATATTAGAGGTAGATTATGCCAACAGAGACCAGGATTTGTTAAAACACAGAATGGAAGCTGTCTCATTTGATCATGCATAGCACCAGAACCTGACCATAAATATGATTTTTTAAAATGGAGTTTTTCTGTCCATACAGTTTTGTTGTAAGTGAGCAGCCCTCTCTAGATTCTGACGTTTTAACAACATGCTTGACATAAAGAACAAGCACCATGCTTCTCTGACACATCCAGCTTCTGTCTTCACCTTGTTTAAATGTCAGGCAAGTCTTGCAAGACATACGTCTTTGTCAGGGTGTTTCAGAGTAAAAGGACCTCTCATGTCTGTTATTTTTCCTGTTCAACTGGAATCACATACGTGCTGTTTGAATGTGAGGTTTATTCAGCTGCAACATTTTTCTGTGAACAGTGACATAGCTGTATGGAGACTTCCACCAAGGTCATCCCAAAGATTTGCATTTCATTTTTACTTGAAGCGAGGCTCCCAGAGAACAATGGTTTTACCTCAGAATAAGCTCTTGCTTGGGTTTTGATGCCTTTAGGGAATTAGACTTGAAAGAAACTTGCAAGATACTGGTTGTTCTTATTGCACACATCCAGATTTTAATTTTATTGTGCCATCCTGTATTGTAACTGTTCTGAAATATGTCTGCTCTTGTTTTCTTTTCCAGCATGCACTACCTTTGGAGGACAAAGAATATAACTTAATTTCTTCCAAGTTAGGCAAATTCTAGTTTTATATCTAGGACAATGTAAATATTTAACAGTGTTAATATTTAACAATGTAACTATTTAAAGAAATTATTTTATTGCAAGATAATTAATTTATCGATATCACATCAGCTGCAGTTAATTCACAAACTGTCACCTTCTTGAATCTCTATATATTGCTTTGATTTCCTTTTTACAGTCTCCTTGAAGAAAACTCTTTCTATTTCACTTTTTTTCCAGATTGCCTGGGAACCAGAGTTCCTACTTCAGATGAAATCATTAAATTAGCAGAAGCAAATGTCTTTTGGTCAGTTCAGGAACTGAAATGCATGGACGCAGGGACTTTTGACAAAAATGTGGAACTTCTTGGGACTGTCTCTGGTTTTAACAGTTCTCAGCTTATTGCCTTGAAGGAAAAAGCCAAGCAGGTAACTATCCTGTCTGTGAAGGAAAATTAAATCCATAATTTGATTTGCTGCTATTGAACTATGCAGTTATAAAATAACTGTGCTATGGCAATGTGTCTACTGCTGCAAGAATATCTGTTGTTTATTGGAAAAATAATATGAGATGGTGGTAGAAGAATATTGCCCTTGCTTTAGAGTCAATAAGCAAGTAGTTCTGAGCTATTGGCAGCTGAAAAATGTAAGTGCTTTTAATTTCTTTTCAGTTGTTTGCTTCTCACTTTTCTTTCATAAATGAAAAATCAGCAAGCAGTACTATAGGCTGTTGATTGGTCTGCTGAGAATTAAATTTGGCACATTAAACTGTCTACATCAGTGTTAAATATAGTTTATAGTGGTGCAAAACCAAACTGACTGAGAGATACTGTTATTAGATGAATAAAGCTTGTTCTACCTCCTTATCACAGGCAGGGACAAACCCATCGGTAGGAAATTGTAGGGAGGAAAAAACACACATGCATTTAGTCTGTCTTTACTAGGATATTACTGATGAGTGCAAGTTAAAGAAGCAGAGCAGAAAGAAGACTTCTATATTTGCCAGGCTGTAAATTTATAGAGAGGAACAGGGCTGTAGTCTCAGCTCTCACCACCATTCCTGCAGCACTGCTGGCACCTCTTTCTTTCAGAGTGCAGCAATGCAGCTCCTCTGGAGCTCCTCAGAGAGGTACTTGCCCTGGCTTCATTCTGTACGTGATGCCCATACTGCAGCAGCAGTGCAGGACTGAAACCTCTCCTCATCTGGCACTGCAGCGCAGGATTTGTGCCAGAGTACTCAGGGGAGAGGGGGGTGCATTTCAGCACCCTGCATCTGGTGCAGAGCATCAGCAAGGTGTCTGGGCTCTGAGCAATGCTGCCTTGGCCAGCTATGGGCTGGGAGAGAAGTCAGACCCCATCCCTGTTGGTGTTGTACTTCTCCCTGAGGGTGACCCTTTGCTGCTTTGTGGTTGCTGCACTGCCAAGGAACCCAAACATACTTGTGTTCCAGCAAGGAAAAGCCTTAGGGTGCAGTAAAACAAGTTGTTTTGGTTGCAGAAAACCCAGAGGTGAAGAGGTTACCATCCCCAGCTGATCTTCAGCTTCCTGTCACCAGCATCTGCTGGAAGTTATCTGCTGTTTCCATCTCTGCATGACTAGCTGCTCTGTAATCCTGTTCTGTCAAAATGATCCAACATTTAAAAAGTCATTTTTAGGCTCCATCTGATGATTCTGACAGAATGAGGTTAGGGAGCATCTACAAGTGCAGTTGGTTGTGAGCAGGACAAGTGCAGATGCTTGGAGATCTGAGGCTGTGACCTCTGGAGGAAAGCAGAGCAGGGGACAAGGTGGGCCTGGGCAGCATCTCCTTAAACCACCAGCTGCAGCCAAAACAGGGAAGCTGATCATGACTTTTGGGTAGATAAGACAACAGTGCAGTTTTTAGCAATGAAGCTCCACTTCTAAAACTCCTGTACTGCAACTGCTCAAAGAGAAGTAGCACTAACCAGATTCCAAGGGCAGATGGTGACTCCCTGCAATTCTGTCTCTGCTGCCTTGTTGCAGCAGGGCAACAGCCCACTGCATAAAATGCATTCTTCCCAAGACATCTTCCTTCTATCAGCATGGAGACATGTGAGTTGGAAAAGGGAGGGAAAAAAAATACAATCCTAGAAGAAAATAAAGCCAGTGCTTATCCAAGATAATGGGAACTAAAACATTTTACAGCAGTGCAACATAATCATATACCTAGAGAGCGATACCCGCTGTAGAGAAATTGCCAACAAGTTTAATACACTCATATCCCAGCTATATGCAATTCAAAGATACACAGATCTGCAGTGCACTGCATGAAATTATACTCTGTCTATATGAGTGTTTGAGGGCAGATTGCTGCTAGACAAAAACAGACTTCCTATATATTAGTTGGCAAAATGCAATGGGCTGTTACAGTGAAAGTCAAGCATGAGAAATCAGACAGTACAGAGAAAGAACTTTGTAATTATATGCACATGATGCTGTTATGTTATTAACTAAAGGGCATCTTTGATTAAAGGTTTGATTAAGCCACCTTTAATTTCTCCTAAATCGATTGAATTTCCCTAAAAGAAACTGTGTACTGCTCATTGTTCCAAACTAATACAAAAAGTCTAGTTATCAGATTGTGCCTAATGAAAGTAAGAAGCTTAGCTCACTCATAAGTGGAAGGTCTCCAAGCTCTGTGATAGTAACAGATGTATGGATCTGCAGTCTCTAGGTGAATGAGGACAAAGGAGTGTTTTATTTTCATATGTTGTGTTATTTATATCATTATATCTGAGATTTCATCCAGTGCTGTCAGATAATATTGTTTATGAAGTACTTCAAATTCTGTAGTTTATGACCTAAATCAAGAAATAGACACACGACATTTATAACTGCATGTGTTTCATGTATCTCTTAAGCTAGAGAATAAAGAGCTTTAAAATTGGGCTAATGCTTTCTACTATCTATTTTCTTTGGAAAAGATTGAAATTTCCCAGGCTTAGACTCTTTTTTCTGTTCTTTATGACATCGTAAAACCAGCATAAAAGATCTGGTGGAAACTCAGGCCCAGCAAAGCATCTTCTAAACATGTAATACCTGTCTTGTGCAAGTCACTTCCTCCAGCTAAAAGCCAGTGTCTTTTTTTCTGTAAAGACAATTGGCCGCATCCTAAGAGGTACTGACCACTGATCACCGTGTTGTGTCATTTCCAACTAAATGTAATTGGCATCTCTTCCCTCTGCAAATTCAACTCTTGATGGACCTTCATTGTTCCTTATTCTGACAGACCTTTTCCTGAAATCAAAATTTTCTTAGAGTTGATGTGTGACAGCTTTTGAATCGCTGTAACGATATCACAGATAAGGTTAAAACCACTGGAACTTGTCAGTTTAGATACATTGGTACTGGTTTAGAAGAGTTCCTGCCTATTTCTTTGTTTTTTACAGAGCTTTACAGATTTAACTGTATCAATACTTACAAACACATTTAAATTATTAATTTTTTTTTTATATTGCATGCACACAAGCTAGAAATCAGAACTTTAGTAACTGGCTGTTTGTCTGTATTACCTGATTCTCTACTTCGATTTCTGCTTTTCTGGTCAATGACTGAGCCAGAATAACTGCTCATAAAGGCAATTTAAGGTCACTCCACCAGAGTAATTGCAGCTACTGTGGAAGTCTGGGTTGTCCAGGTGCTGCTTTCATGGTAGTGGTGTAGCAGTGTGGATCTCAGCACAGACTTGCATTTTCATTGGTTTTAGTAGTACTTGCTCCTACAGCAACACTTCCGGGAGTCCCTGTGCTGACTTATCAACAAGCTCAAGCTGTACAAATTACAGCATTTTTAGATAAACTAACCATTATTAGTGTAGAACCTCAAAAACCTTCACAGTACACAAGCTCTGCCTTTGGTATGAAAAGAGGCATACTCCTGGTATTGGGACTTTATAAATCAACGGGTTTGAGAATGGTGTATATGGAGGAAGATACATAATGATCTATTAGACATTAATGAATCTCTTCTAAAGGTTTGGGGATTGCTGCCAGACTGGAAGAGTTATCATATTGTTTCCCTGGGCCGCATTGCTCTAGCACTCACTGAACATGAAATTGAAGAGCTGGATTTGCATTCTATTGACACCATTTCTGTACTTAGTCAGCAAACAGGATGGACTCTTACCCAGGTAAGTATGTTACTGGAGGTACTCCTGGTGAAAAGCCCTGGATTCCCACCCATTGGGAGTGAAGTCCTAGAAACAGATATAGCAATCCACACTACCCCCTGCTGCTTTTCTGCAGCTGTGACCCCAGTGAAAGTGGGCAGGTAGGTCAGCACTGATGTCTGCCTCGCTGCTGGCTTCCCTGGTGAGATGGCACAGAGGACATCAATCGCTTTCAATTGTGATGGTGATGAATGTATTCTTTAGCACTTGCCCACTAAATAGTAGAAAGAGGTCAGCAGCTCATCTCACCCTAGCCCTACAATAGATACTACTGCTAGGAGATACTAACCCTTCCTAAGAGTAATCACTGAAGAGGTAGTGTGGCCCCAGCCCCAGCATCCACTACCATAGAAGCCTAAGTTATTAGCAAATATGCCCCTCACATCTTCCTTTCTTTGAATAATTACTAGTTATGTCAATGGGACTTTCATAAAAAGAGTTAAAAGCTTTTATTGCATATGCAATTGGCAGCATATTTCTGACTTTGGGACCCATACCATCAGGGCTCCTCAGCTGCACAGATGCTGTATGGTGGCAGGCAGCTTTGGCAAAATATCACACATCCATGTAATAGATTCTCATTCTGAAGAGCACCATCAGAAAGCAGCACTTGTGGGGGAGGGGGGGATTTATACAGTATTAATTGGCTTTTGAGGTTTCCTGCTGTCAGTAAGAATAGCTGGTTAAGAGGCTCATCCTACCTAACTTCAGTTGTCTAGACGTTAGGCAGCTAGTTTAAGCTAATCATTTGAGGCTCAGCATTGTGGATTAGGAAATCTTGGAATATGCTTATTCCTTTTGCTGACTTTGGTGGATGCCTTGGTGGCAGGCTTAAGCTAGATACATAGTTTTTAAATGGTTAACTTAGAATGAGCACTGTCCTAAATGACTTAGGCTTGCAGAAGCATTTTAGTACCAATATCCCATTCATATCTGAAAACTATGCCTAAACACAGGTCATCACCTGTAGGTGACTCTTCGATAAGACAACCTGAGGATTAGGAAAAACTAAAAATTTCATACTGAACCCCTTGAGTAATTTGTTTTCTTACAGCAATTTAAATGAATTGGGCAGTTCTGTTGGTAACTCAGTGCCTGTTTCTTCTGGTGAAGTGTTTGCTTGTGACCTGGGTCACAAGCAGAGGTACAAAGTGCTTTCAAATCACTTGCACTTGGGAAGTGGTTGTGTAACAGTGCTTTGTTTAAGAGTCACATACAGATTGTGACAATGCTGCTCCTGAATATGGCAAAGTTACAATTAATTATATCAGGGAGCCTCAGGATTACATACGGTACATGGCTTCTAGTAAGATTTTGAGCTTTAGTAACAAAGCCTTCAATTATATTTACTCTGTTCATGCATAATATTTTACTGCTTTTGTAGGCAAGATCTATTTTGCAAGGTTTTCTAGAAGACTCTGGCCAGACAATCAGTACACTGAAAAGCTTTGATTTAGTTGGATTAGGAGCTATTCTCTGTGCTTTGAACTCCACAGAAATCATGTCCATAAGGCCTGCTGAATTCAGGTAATATATTTAATACTTAATGAAATATTCATTAGTATCTCTGTTGATAACATTTATTGTGCATTTTTTTTCCTTCAAGATTTCCAGAGCCTAAAGGATGCTATTTTACATTTTAAATGCATTTAGAAAGGTAATAACTATTACAGAAGGTGTACACTAGATACTTAAAATATATTCTATTTTAGGTTTCCTCTGCCATTGATATCTCACCATTTAAGTATTGCGTTGAGAAACCCAGGTTTTTGCTCAAAGTGTTAAACGTTCGTATGCAATTTGTGTACATATGTTTTGAATGGAAAATGGGTTTAGAGACTTCTTACAGTAGACTAAGTATATTCCAGGTATATTTATGTAATTGCAGCATGTAACATTAACTTTGTTGCCTTTTACAGTGCTGCTGTTGCAAGAATTGGCCTGTTGTTTTGTAGCACCCCTGTTCTGAGCCAGTTTAAGAAGATGACAGAATCTGTGTTTGGTACCACTACCAGCTGGAACGGATCTGTTTTGCAGGAAATTGGTACTATAGCAGGTAACAGAAATCAGACTCCAGATGGTGATGGTTCTGAAGCATTGTTATGAAGCATAAAGAGACAGGTTCACAGAGCAGGGCCTTTTTCTAGGCTGGAAAAAGGCATTTCTTCTAGAAAGCAGTTACCTGCAGGGATGGACATTCAGCAATTTCATTAACACTTAAGGAAAAGTTGTGTTATCTCAGTCCATAATGTTCTCTCAGTCCTCTCAAACTGACTTTGGGGAGCATAGCCTTGAAGTCATTTGGGTCCTGTAAGCTGGAATGGGTAAATCAAGGAGGGTGAAACCAGTCAGGTTTTCAAACCCACTCACTGTTTGTCAGCCATGCTGCCACAGGAGTGGCTGTGTTGGGTCAGAGCAGTGCTCTAGCTGACCGAGCATCCTGCCTCCAACAGTGGAAAGAATGGGCTGCCTGGGGAAGAGCGAAAGAGCAGCAGGGTTGTCAGCCTGGAGTGGTACTTCTCTAGAGTGTCCTCACAGTCTCTGAGACTTCCTGAGCCAGAGGTCCCACACAATTTTGTTCATGGATTTTTTTTTTTTCCGTGTAATCACTTAACTGCGCACTGAACTCATAAATTTTAGCATCCCTGATGCCTGCAGCAATGATTCCACACTGTAAGTACCTAATGAGTGAAGAAGTAATTCCCATTGCATGCTTACACTCCCTAATCTTGTATCAGAAGAGGCTGTGAACAAGTATTCCTTAATAATGCTGCTTATGATTTTATTGATTTTTATCACTCTCTCGTTTCCAAAAGTAACTCAGATAGAGTACATTCCATACCATAGCGTACATTCCAGTGGTTAAAGTCAGATGATTTATAATGTTGGAATATAATGAAAGAAAGCAAAAAAAAAGAACCAGTATCTCTCTCCATAACACACTGAAGTAAACCATTTATTAGATGTTTTGTATGAATGCTTAAAATTTGTATTTTCCTAAAAATAATAAAAAGAGCGTTAACTGAGTTGTGTTCTTATTGTGGTTTGGTTTTTTAGGTGGTTTGAATGAGGATGAATTAAAAGCTTTTGATAAAAATTTGATGCCATATTTCCAGCCAGTGGCAATAAGACTTATACCTCCTGAAATTTTCCAAGTAAGAGCTTGGTTACTGAAGATGTAACCGAACTTCTATCATTTTTACTCTAGTATAAATAAACTGCAGCACTGATTTATAGTTTGGTTTTGGGTTTCAGCAAGAATTTTTCTACGGTGTGTTAAGTGAGAGGCAGTCAAGGATCTGAAACATTAACTTTCAGCTATATCATCTGTATTTGTGATGCCCATAAAATATGCTAGATAAGCTTTATTTATTCTTCAGAATGCATCCCAAGGAAAAAGCAAAGATCTAGGGTTGGAAAGCAGGGAACGGACTCTCTTTCTTCCAACCCTATATTCAGATATGAGTTTTCTTCTCTGTTTATTAACATTAGCAAGGATGCTATCATAGCTGCTCTCTGCTGACTATGTAAGAGCTTTTCTATTATCCTAAAATTTGCAACGTTCTCCCAGGTTAGCTCTAAAAAACAGATTGTACAGCAGATACGGATAGAAAGGAATTTCACCCAATTACATCAGATCTGAACGTGGACCAGAAATAAGAACATGGATCTTGAGATCTCTGCCCCAGACATCATTTGACCTAGTGACAAGTTTAATATTCTGCCTATGCTGGTCTCTTTCAGATGCTCAGGCAAGCAATGTACTTATGGATAGATGAGCTAAACAGTTAATTAATTGTGTCAGCTTCCATAAAAGAGAAAAAAACCCTTGACCATTATTTTGCACAGTACCACTGACAGTTTAGATGACCCTGAATTGTCCTTTGTGCAACTGTTTCTTTGAAAAACAGGCAAAACTGAAGATCTATAGCATTTTGTGGAATTTCCTTGAAATAATCATGTTTTGTTAGTAAGAATGGTAACAATGCTACAAAATGTGCTTAATGAATAACGGCACCCTCTTGGAAGAAGTTTTCAGTATTTGAAACATTCAAAGCAGAATTTGATTTTACACAAGTTTTGTGTAACTTCATTTTATGGCTGAATACATTATTCAGTTTCTGGTTTATGAAACATTATGGACATTAATTAAGAAGAGGCTCAATTCAGAATTTCTGGACCCACAGGCATCTGCATGTGTTTATTCAGTTTGAAAAAGCACATCATTTGGCAGACAAAAATCGGGAAGGGTTTGCTCTATTGTCTGACCTACTTGGAAGGGGAATTTAGTCTTTCTAAAGTAGAACCTGGATACAGAATTACTGCAGCAAAGTAGGCTTGCTGTGTAGGAGGGCTAAAATTCTTGTGACTGCAGAATGTTAACTAGTATCAAAGCAATCCAGCATACCCAATACATGCAGGCTTTACAAACTGGTTAATTGCTATGTGATATAAGATAATTACTGTAAGATTATGATTGCCATCTTTCATTTTTAAACTCAAGTTTTAATATGACCAAATTTGAAAGATTTTCAATCTAAATGAGAAAATTGAGTAATGGAATTAAAGCACTTTTTTTTTTCATGTCATTGCTTTACTGCTAACTATAATCAAAGGTCAAATATAGGTTCAAGTGATGTTGCCTGGGAGCAGATGTAAGAGAAAATAAATGACAAAAATGGGAGGATACACAGTGTCATCAGTGTTTGAACAGATCAGAAAAGAAACGGCTGGAAAATTAAACTCCAGCAATATATTGAAGAAATGTTCAATATAGTGTTGGCATAGAAAGCTTTTTCAAACTGTCAGATCCCAGCAACAAAGAGAAGAGTGAGAGCCAGATGAATGGTCAGTAAATGAATGCAGAGGGGGGTTTTAAGCACTATTGAGCTTTTTTTTTTTTTATGGCAACACAATGTTGAAAGCTACTTCCTCTTGTTCCAAATGCAAGGCAATGCTGACTTCTGATTCCTTACCTGCTTTATGTAATTGACAGCCTGGCTTTTATTTCTCCTAGGCATTGTCCCCAGAACAAATAGCAAACCTGGGCCCTGAAAGTGCCGCCATGGTTACCAGGTCACAGCGTGAGCATCTGAATACATCACAGCTCCAAAGCCTTCAGCTGGCACTGGATGGAGCCAGGACAAGCACCCCAGAGACACAAAACACTGCAAGCACTACCCAGGAGGTGCAAATCGCAGCTCCAAGTGGTGAGTATAGTCGCTCCCTTCTTCAGAGAGGGGAAGGACACACAGCAGTGGGGTGTTCAGTCCTGCATCATCCACCAGGATCACACCTGTATTTTGAAGGTGGGTTACACTGAGTTTCCTAATCAACTATTTAACTCGCACCTTAAATCTCATGCCTCAAAACGTTTGTTTGACCAAGACAAACGACGTATGTTGTTGGATTTACCCACAACAAGAGATAATGGAGGATGATGGTTAGAAGGCATTAGCAGCTATATGTTGCTAGTAGTGTTACACGATGCTAAGTACTAGTTTATGTAAAAGGCAGTCTGAAACAGTGAGCTTTTTCCTCTCCTCCTTTCCCGTATTTTTGGCTAAATTTGGCTCTACCTCTCTGGACCTTCAGATCACAACCATTACCTGCAGCAGAACCTTGTTTTGCAAAGCTGAAAGGAGGTAGCACTGGGTTGGATTAGTATCTTTATCGACACTGTAGGACCTCTTGAGCAGTTTTTCCTGCTGTTCCCATCCTATTTGGAATTAAAGCTTATTAGCACCTACGTTTTAGTGGTTTAACATGTTTAGTGGTTTTTACTTCTCCATATTGCACTTTATACCAGACAAGTTGTGCTGGCAAGTATGTTAGTGGGTGCTTTACAATGAGTGAGAGTTTGGATTCAGTCAAGCCAACACTGAGAATTCATCACTATCAGACAGCAAATATTGTTGCTTCCAGTGATACCAGTGAGACATAAGCTGTTGAAGAAAAGAGAGGAATGTTGAGGTGCTAAAAGAAGAGTAAGGGGGACTGAATTGCTAAGATGCCCTTGCTGGAAATTAGAGCAGACCTTCCCCAGAAACAGTCTAGGTCCCTTGTGTTTGACCTGTCCCTCTGTAGATATGCCAAAGTAAGGAGTTTTCTGGGTAAAGATCTCCTGAGTTCGTGAGCTTCTTGTTCATTTTTCCTACTTCTAGTGAGTACCACCCCTAGGTAAAGCTGCTCTTCAGAGCTGTGTATGTTAAACTGGGAGTATTCTGAGCAGTGTCATCTTTTGAGCAGCTGAATGTAATTAGGATTCAGATGTTGGAATTTGCTGCACCTCTTTGAGGTCATGTAGGTAAGACTGTACTAGTGACACTAAGCCGTAATGCTTTCTGTTTTTCAGATGCTCCTTGTTTGAGTGGCTTTGGCATCTGGTTGTATGCTGTGATTACACTACATCTGCCTTTCTGAATCCATATTTGTTAAGCTTGAGGTAAGTTATGTTTTCAGTAAGAAGTAGCTTTATAACAGAAACAGGGAACAGCACAGGGAGAAGGACTGTAGGACCTTCTTCCTGCTTTAAGTACAGAGACAACAATTTTGAATATTTTTTCTGTATTACAGAGGTGTCTTGTACCTCTGTTAGACTATCTTTGAATCTAATCAAGGGGAAAGCCCTTTATCTTTACTGTAAGGCAAACATTAACAAAAGTTTACTTAAAATTCCATGTAACACCACTCCATTACTGCATTGTTACTTGGAATATATTGTTGGTTTTAATCTCTATTGTGCCTGTTCCAGTCTAAGATTTTACTCCACAACCGCTTTGATAATCTCCAGTTAAAAGAATGTTGCTATTAACTTTTATTGGATTTTACCATTTTAATAGACTAAAATTTAATGAGAGCCCTGGGCTTAAGGTATAAATTCCATTTAAGCAGACTAAATGCTAAAATGTTCTACTTAGTCTTTAAAACTGCAAATCAAACTATGTCAGATGACTTAATTTTCTTTGCTTTTTGATTTTCAGTGTCCTGGAGCTTACAGAGGAGATGCTAAAGAGTTGCAGCTCAGCACGAATAGTAGAATCAAGAAGCTCTGAGATTCCTGAGTGCAGAGTGGTTAATTTCTTAAAAGCAACACCTTCCTCTGCCATCATGAAGTATTCCCGTTCTCTGTCTTTAGGATTAACAAGTAACACAGTATCCCTCCAAATACTTCAGACAAATTTCAAAACTGAAAATGGCTTATCTGTCTCATGAGACAATGAGTAAAAGGTATGCTTATGTGTTAAGTAGGAGCCTAAACTATCTAGGGGACAGGTAGCAGGTGACTGTTATTTGGAAGCTGGTGTATTGTACCCAGTGCTTTTTATATTGGCTAATTTGGTCACACTATTGTGTCCTCCCATTGGGTTTTCTTCTCATAGTTTGAGCATACTTTCCCCTAGACAGAGGCTATCCTTCTGTGTGACCTAGCAGAAGCCATACTAAAAATTACTGCTGCTGTGATAAAATAACTTCATCTTTGGGCTGATGGTTTAAATCCTGCTCAGATAAGAAGTGATGATGTGTTCGTATAATCACCTGTACGAAATGCAGTTCCTCATGGGTGTATGTATTCAACACAGAGGGCATTGGCAATACTATTTCATGCAACAAAATGCACCATGGAAATATGCTTATGTTTATCATAAGCTCCCTCCACTTCAGATGGGGTTGAAGCATACACCTGGGAATAATAAGGGAAAACTGTTCACTGGGTCTACATACTACTAGGACTGTCAATCTAGCGCTTTCCACAAGTTCTATACTATCTAATTTATCATAATTATAAACCACAAATATTCTCATGTGTTTTATCAACATATGGCTTATGTGTCTAATGTTTCTCATGCAACACCTCAGTATTTTAAACAGTAGATAAAACATTAAAAACCCCCTGCATGTGAACATACTTTCTGATATTGTTCAACTTGATTTAATACCAAGAAAGCATGGTACAGTTCTCCATTTTGCCATTGGAAAAGTCTTTAGATTTTCTAGACTAAGAAGGGCAATGCATAAACTTATTTCGGGCTGTGCTCTAGTAAATGCTTTTCAAATATTTATTTGTATCTCTTTATGGCAAACATTACATCTAGCTCTCAGCACTGAAAGAAGAATTGAAATTTTACTACAGGTGGGAAAGCAGTAGGAGTGGGGCCGAGAGGGAGAGGCAGAGGGAAGAGGTTTACCGCTTCTGCTGCTGCCAGGGAGAGGGTGAACTTAGCTGTTGCTGCTGTTGGGGAGTAACAGCTCCCACCGAAGTCCCATATACTCTAATTCCTGCAGCAGCAGGAGGCAGCCTAATTTTCAGGGCTTTGTTTTTGGCAAAGTAGGCAGTGAGAGCGTGGCCGTTTTTCACACCCTCCTGATCCCTCTCCCTCTTTAGCAACCTGCTGCTCTAGGAACTGCCTGTGCCTATAACTAACCCTGGCAAGTGTGACATGATGTTACAGGTAGCACTATGTGCTCTAGTTATGCATTTTATGAGCAAAGAACTAATATTGCTGCAACTGCCTTGCACCTTTTTATCTAATGCTAACAATAAGATTCCAGCTCTTCCCACTGTGTTTCCTTTACTGCATATAACAGTAGATTGCAGCATTTGTTTTGAAAAAATTTAAAAAAGAGAGTAAAGAGAAAAAAGAGAATAAAGAGAATAAAATGACCACTAAAACAAAAAAATGCTTCAGTGGAACAAATTTGTTATAAAGATTTAGCTGTTTTTTCATATTAAAAAGTTCTGCCTCATTTGGATGTGAAAGTACCAAGAAGTTGTTTGATTTCTAGAAATTACGTACTTGAATTCTGAATTCTTTGTGCACTTCGGTGAAGATGCAGGAGAATATTTTCATTCAAGGATACAGTCGGCATTTCCAGTTGAGCTGTTTAAGTCAGATACATGACTTAGCTATACCAAGCACTTCAAAAATCTGTATGAGCTGAAAATTATCTTCTTCTGTCAATGTACCTGGGAGTGATTCCGTCTGCAATTATGTGAGTCAGAGTTTAGCTTTTAATTGGAGCAGGAGTGAACTCTTTGTTTGCTGCCATCTGTGCTGTAATTTCTTTCAAGCACAAGTGCTTTTAAGTAGCTGAACTCCTCGATTATTTATTTATTTTATTAAATTAATAATTATGTTAATAATTTTGGCATTGCATTTACATTTGGCCAAATACATGTTGTTTCTTACAAGAGTGCTGTAGGAAGGGTAAACATTTAGCACCCACTTAATGTACTTATTTCATGGTGAGATTACAAATCCTGTTTGGTTTGTAAAATGGTGTGAGCATCTTGGATGGCGAGTATTGTAGAAAAGCAATTACACTTTTGCCAATGTAGCTCTTGTAGAGGTCGCTGATGGAAAAACCCATTCTACAAAAACTGTGATTCATGAGATACCTCCCTCAAAACTGTTGAAACTGAATTTCTGGGAAGAATGGATGGAAAGGAGAGAAAGAGATGGAGAGTGCTAGTGTACATGGTATGTAACCCGTATATGTAATCTGCTGTCTGTTCACTTCCAGTAGCTAAGAGAAAACTGAAACAGAAACTTTACTTTTCACTCTTGTGAAACAAAGCACAGCTAATGCAGACATCCATACCACAGGATACCACTAGTCATACAGATCTGTGCATATGTGTAGTGCATACAAAATGAATGTGATCACTTTTACTGGAATGTATTAATGGGAAAAATGTCTCACAGTCCTTCTTCATACCAAAAAGATTTTGGGGAAGAATATATTACAGAGAACTGTTGTGTAAAGATTTCTTTGATCCTTAAAAAAATGTGGTTCTTTATTGTCAATGTGGGTAACATTTGTCTAAACCAAGCTTGATTTTTCCAATATCTTTTTAGTTCTAACATTTATATTTGAGAATGGCAAACAAAATCAGATTAAGGCATAAATCTGCTGTTCAATATATAGCATGGCAATCGTTTTCTTATCTGGGTATTGTGAGAATTGCAGCTCTCCTCTCCACTTGTGACTACCCTGATGGTTGCTAGGCACTGCCGTACGTACTGCAGGATATACATCTGGCTGTCAATTGTCTGACATAACTCTGGTGTAGTCCAGCTCTTCTGAGTGTGGTAACCATGTGGCAGGTGGCCTTGTCCAACAGTATGTAGGAGGAGGTATTTCATTTAATTAATTTCATTGAATGTAGGATTCTTAAAGGGTTAACAGATGGGAAAGAATATTTTGTTGGCTTATTATTTCAGTGCCTGACACCTTTATATAAAGAATTGTTTCAGAAAGAGAAAGGGGCTACTAGATGTAGATCACCAACAGAGAAAACATCC